TTAAAGCTTATATTTAGACGGACTACCTGAGGCCTGAGGCGAACGGGGGAATGGAACGTACCATCCCCAAAATAGTAAGCAAACCTTTCAGTACGGGCTGGGAACGGGCCAGAATGCATGGCCATGACACAGCAGTCCAAATAGGGATGAGGGGGAAACACGAAAGATACATTACAAGCAGTGAAAGTGCTGAAGATGATCCATGGAGCTTGGAGCTTGTGGAGCTTACGGAGGTTACAGAGGCAGGGTTGAAAGTCCGAGGAATATTGGCAATGGTGTTTACGTAGTATGAGGTCACCAATGCAATGGACTAAAGCCGAGGTGGAGTCAAAGTCCGAGGTAGGAATTATGATGGAGTCTCGGAGCGAAGGTATGAGTGGTGTCCAAGTATGAAGTACAGGACAGTGGTGGAAGGTCGCAACTTGGTGGAAGGTCGGCAGAAGAGGGCCAGAGGGAAGAGAGAGGAAAGAGGAAAGGGGAGAGGAGTGGAGGAGAGGAAAGGTGTCAGGTCCAAAGGTGAGTATCTGTCAGGGACTCATCCGGGGTCGAGGGAGCCCGGGTATAGCGTCCGGGGCTGAGAGCCTGGTGGGGGGCAGATCGGGCATGCGTACTGACAGGCCCGATGTGGGACAGTGGTCCCTGGCCACTTAGACTGAAGTGGAAAGTTGAGAAGAAGGCTACTTCTTTGGTTCCCACTTCAGGTTCGTTTATATACATGCGGCTTAGATCACATGACAAGTGCCACGTCACCCTCGCACACAGCCATAACCACCCGGGTGTCTCTGTGGGAGATCCCGAAGCCATCTGGTGCATGCACACATGCTGGGTGCAGCAGGAAGTCGCCCAAGGTGCCTGGGCCGGGTACATGGTGGGCGCGCAGCAGATGGGTCAATGGTACATTGATACAAAGAAGGTCGTCCGGGTAGAATAAAGAGAGAATAAAGAAGAAGTAAGATAGAAAGAAAGTGAGGAAGGAGAATGAGGAGAGTAGAAGGGGGAGGGGGAGGAGGTGAGGAAGGGTGGACAGCGGGGTACCGGGTCAGGTTGGGCCAGGTGGAGCCAGGTCAGGCAGGTGTGCCCTGACAGTATCGGAGCAGATGGGTGAAGGGTAGGAGAATGACGGAAGGGTGGAGGTGTTGTGAGGAGGAAGAGGAGGAGTGGGAGGAAGAGTGGTGTTCGGTCCAAGGTGAGTATCGGAGCAGATGGAGATAGGATAGGAGAAGGACAGAGGAGTGGAGGTGGCATGAGGGGTGAGAGGAGGTGTGGTGTCAGGACCGAAGGTGAATATCGGAATGGACAGCAGTAGGGCAGGACTCCAGAGGTGGTGAAGAAGGAGGTCTGGGAGTCAGGTCAGGATCGGGTATGCATGGATATGACAATTATTCCATTCTAGTCCACATTATGCTACAGGTAGGAAGAGATGGATAAGTGTAGTGTGATGGTGGAAATTGGTGGAGGACAGCAATTATTAGCAGATATGGCCCACTTATCACTCCTGTCTTTCTTTCATTGAACTTCCATGTTGGCCATTGGACTTATCAGCCATACTTAACAGCCCACATGGTGTCCATAACAACAATCTTTCATTTTATATTTTCTTTTCATTTGTTTTTCCACATTATTGCTGTTCCATGTGTTTAAAAGCTCTGTACACATAAGAATGGAAAAGTGACCTCCCTTTTGACTACAAAGAGACTGTAGTGCTGAGATCCAAGAAAGAGAAAGAAATTCTAAGCTTGACTCCCTGAGTATTATAAGGAATCCCTGACAATTGTCCAAGATGGACCAGGGGTACATAATTCTTAACAAGTTTTTGTGATTATTTTTGTTTTGTTAGCACTCAGACCAAACCTAGGACAAGCTTAGGACATCCCAGACTCCCTCCCCATGAATTTGCTTGCATTTTGGGGGTTAAACCTCTAGCCCGTTTGCAGCGGTCTGTCATGTAGTTTTGGGCACTGAGCCAGACTCGGTCACCCTCCTGGTACTTGGGGGCTGCCTCATGGCCCTGGTCATAGTAGTGGGCCATCTTGTCTGCTGCATGCTCCAGAGCTGCTTTCGCCTCCTCCTGCATCTTCATCATCCTAGATGAGAAGGCATCAGTGGCTTCTACCTCAGATGTATGTATGGGTTCTGTCCCCATCTTGGGGTGCTGCCTGGTGTCGAGCTTGAAGGGGGTTCAACAGGTGGACGAGTGGATGCAGTTGTTGTAGGCAAACTCTGCCAGTGGGAGCCAGTCTGCCCAGTCATCCTGGCAGTGGTTGATGAATACCTGGAGGTAGGCTTGGATTTCCTGGTTGACCTGCTCCATCTGTCCATCAGTCTGGGGGTGGTAGGGCATTGAAGGGGTTAGCTTGACCCCCAGGAGGTCTGCAAGTTCTTTCGAGAAGTGTGAGATGAAGGTGCTTCCTCTGTCACTGAGGATCTCTTCAGGGAGCCTGTGGTGTTTCCAGACATGCTCCAGGAAGAGCCAGGCAATACCAGCTGAATCCATGGATGTCACAGTGGGGACCACATGGATATGTTTGGACAGGCAGTCCACTACAACTAGGATGGCATTGTAGTGTCAGGGCACACCCACCTGACCCAGCTCCACCCAGGCCCACATCACCCACTCCCCTGTTACCCATCCTTCCCCCTCCTCCTTCCTCCCTCTTTACACAGACCACTTTCCCTTGTATCATTGTACTGTTAACCCATCCAGCTCAGACACCCTGGACGGCTTCCCACTATGCCTAGCACACGCACCTGCAGTGGACGCTCTCGGGATCCCCTGTGGGGACACCCAGATGGCTGTAGCTCTCTCTGAGGATGACGTGGCACCCATCATGTGACCCAAGCCGCATGTACATAAATGTACCTGAAGTGGGAACTGAAGAAGTAACCTTCTTCTCACATTTTCCACTTCAGGTAAGTAGTGTAGTTCTCCCTTTTAATGACAATTCACATTTTCCACTTCAGTCTAAGTGGCCAGGGACTGCAGTCCCACATCGGGCCTGTCAGCATGCATGTGTCAGGGCACAGCCTAACCGGCTACCCTGACTCCCTATGCCGGAAGGGAGTTGCCGTAAGACGATCCGGAGTGATCTGAAGAACGCAGGTAATCTCGCTTAGCTCTCGCTTAGCTCCCGCTTCCTATCTTCCGTCCACATGTCACCCCTTTCCCACACCTCGCTTACGATTATCCGAATGAATAGCTAGCTATCTTTTCATGTCATCATTCTATCGGTTATCTTCTATCTCGTTGTAACCGCACTCTAGTGGGTAGTGGTACCCATGTATATAACTCCTATCTCCGCTGAGGGTGGCACCTCAGCATTAACAACAACCAGGATTCTCGGGAATGCCCTTATCATCATGAACTGACATGCAGTCCCTGACAGCATGCCCGCTTTGCATCCCAAGAGGGTCCTTCTGCCAGGCATTACATCTGGGCCCCCTCCACCCTGGATGCATCCCTGACATGTAGCCTTTCGACTCTGGGAGCTCTCCCACCATGTCTACTGAGATCACCTGCCAGTGATGGGTGGGGACTTTATTTGGGGTGATGTAAGGAGTGGTAACCCCACCCCTTAATTCCTATCTTCATTCTATATGTGTCTCATAATAAACATGTATAAACAATGTATATACAATAGTGTGGGAATTTGGGAAAAGGAACAGAACTCCTTTTCCTCCCCATCATTGATAATAAAGCTCCATACAGCTCAACTTTATTGACAACCTGAGGATTGAGGAGAACTGGTTGGAACCTACACCAACCCCTTACAGGTGAGCTTCCCAACCTTCTGTCATATCCATCCCCAGCCATCGACTTCCGATCCCTCCGATCCCTCCAGTCTACCTCTGCTCCTTCTTCACTAACCTCGGAGCTCCCGTATTCCGCAATCCCCTCAGTACCCCTTGATGGTCACCACCCCCTCCTTTCAATTTATTACCTATGCCTCCCTAAGTATGGAGCCCTGAAGGCTTCCGGACAGCTCCGACGTCCACTAGCGCACTCCTGCCTCCACTGGGCAATACACTTGCTTGCCCTGCAAAGCCCACCTTTGGGCCATCCCTCCCTTCCGTTTCTGGGTTAGAACCTACCTTTCCATTAACCCCATAACCCAACTCGTCAGTAATATTCAATTGGCTAATGTCTAACCCTGTTAGCTCCGCTCCGCCATTTGCAGACCCACCCTCGTTGTAACTATATATATACTCAACTTGTACATAGGTTACACCTCAGTAATAGAGTTTACCCCCCTTCAATTCTGGTTGCCAGTTTAGTAAGTTAGGGCACGGACATGTTACTTGGCACAGCGCTCCTGGCATAAGTCGCTGAGGCCGAAGCCCTCCGCCACGGAGACATTCCCTTGTCTCAACCTGGTCTCTGACACCTTCCATGTGGGGAAGGATTTGACATGGTTACAGGTGTCACATCCATGTACATATCACCCAACATACTCTGCCATCCAAGGCCACCAGTAGTCATGGGAGACAAGTTCCAGGGTTTTCCATTGCCCTGGATGCCCCATCGCCCACACGTTGTGGTGTAGCCATACTAGATTGTGGTGGAGTTGCAGGTCTTTCAGAACATACACCTGAGTCACTGAGGCCAAGGTCCTTCCTAATTGAGTCTCCAATTCCATTCCGGAACCATCTGAGACCATCCTCTGACAAAATGCCTTTTTATACCCCTGAAATGCTCTGAATATGTTTTTAATAACTTAATAAATATGTCATAAATGCTTCCCACAGCATCAAAATCGCCAAAAACCTGTCTCATATAACACATAAAGTGGTACCACATCTGAGCTATGCATTTTCATCAGCTGTTGAATAGTTGTTGTAATAAAATGCCATGAAATGTTTCCCAGGCATTTAAACAATATACTGGATTTTCCGAAAGATGTATGGTTTGAACTCGTAACCAAAATGTTTGGATCCGTAAGCCAGCCGCAATCGGACTTGACAACATAGCACCCATTCAACTAGTACCAAAGCTAGGTGGGGGATCAAACTAAGAGATCCAATGTAACTTGGCCATAATCATATCCATGATACAGTATGACACCCCGAATTTCAGCTGAGTCAAGTTCCAAACCAATTTCGAAATCTATATACAATGTAGCATGAATGAACATTCCTCAGTTTCAGCAATACTTGGAAGAGGGGGTCGATGGGGAAAGAAACATCAACTCACCAGTGTAGAAACCGCCTGGTTGAGGGTTATTTGCATGCTGTTGGAAATTGGGTAAATTGGTGAGGTCCACGGTCCACCTGGCCAACGTATACATCTCGCCTGCAAGTTCATCAGTATACCGCATGATTTTATCTGAATCTGTCGCGTAAAACATCGCAACGAACAGAAAATCTATACCGCGCAAACGTTAGCACCCTGAAAATACCCCTTGAGGAACCGACGATAACAACTTGCCCCGAGGTGTAGAAGAAAATTTGCGGCACTTGGCCCGAACCCTCTGACCCCTTCTCAAAATTGCACCTTTACTGACAAAGTATTGCAACCTATTTTCGCAAATATGGTCACCAGCATCGTTTTCAGTGATGTATGCCTGAGGTCTCTGCCAATCCTCTGGCTCGACCGGTAATGAGACCCCCATGATATATGATCTGGGTACGATGATGGAAGAGACAAGTGGATGACCAGGGAGGCCGAGTTGAGCGGCACCACGACATGTTGCAGTGTCTGCATCGGAGGGGCGAGCAATGACTTTGATACGAGAACCAAAAGTCTCCTACGGAGTAGGAAGGAACCGCTAGAATAAAATCTAGAAAGGTATGAATAGTTACAACACATACATTCATTCGCCTAAAGAGATATTCACTTCCTGAGAAACCACCGACAAGTAGTAAGGCGTCAATCCTCTGATCAACACGGCGGGTTTGTGACTCGATCAAGTTCAATACCTAGCCACGTATGAAGTTATGCATGCCTCGCACATAAACAAATAATAAGACTAACTTGCTCAATGACTGGATCGAATACCTCTCTTCGAAGCAAGTTACCTGGCAAAGCCAGGTCACCATTAACCAGACCAACTGAAGGATCATCTGCCAATCAGGTCAGCGTATACGCCAGGGAAAGACTCTAGCCTCCACTTCACCAGGATCCTCAACATTAAAACAAGTGAAATAGAACATATCCCCATCATTGCTTTCTCCAAGATACTCAAGTTTACCCGTCTCATTGAACGCATACGTAAAATACTCCAAACTGTCAGGCTCCAAATGAACAGGGTGATCCGCCAACAGCGTCCTCACCAACTCCTTGAATTTCAAGTCGAGGAGTGAACCACAATTGGACCGCGAGCAAGCGCACATTTCGGCGATTTCAAAATTTTGGAGCGAACCAATGATTTTGTAAACGGTAAGATCCACTGTATCTCCAGCATCGCAGATCATGAAATTTTGACTGGAACGGAGTTGACGGAAGTTTGTAAGGCGGGTGCAATGTACGGCTGCTGCTTCTGATTCGCTGTTTGGAACGAATCACATCAGTGAATGTCGTACAACCCAAATGACGGCATGACACACGTAATAATATGAAGACGATCTCTCCAATCACGGTCGTCCGCAGAGGCGGCACCAACAAGACCTCTGAGGGTCGGTAGGTTGTGAGTCAATCAAGATATGCACCAGCACTCACGCTTGGATCGCAGCGTCACGCATGGTTCGACAGCCCTTCGTATCCCAAGTCGCAGGGACAGCTAAGCAACATGCGCGTTAGTACCGATTAAGGATAGGGGCATAACGGCCACAACGCACTGAGCCAAACGTCAGCGGAATCTCGAGGCCCCATCAGGAAACATGTTACAGCGCATGGATCATTTCACTCACTCAAATCCGCAACAACATCAATTTCCTGAGTAATTCGTTCACGAGCATACTATATGAAAGAGCAGAGTCAGACAAGCTGCTGCAATTTCTTTGTTGCCTATGGCGAAAGATCGACTCACATCCCAGAGACATGTCAAGAAATCAATAATTAGATCCACCGCTTTCTTTCCCGAAGGCAACTTAGGTAATCTCGGATCCACAATGTCATCCCTCAACGCACTGGGCTCCAGGAACAGCTTGAAACGTTCACATATGACTGTAGCCGGCATAGGGATTGCATGCTTCGCTTCCAAACCCCGCGCTAACACACGTCCGGCATCGTCGTACAGCAAGCAAGTCGGGATCTGTTCAACTATACCTCCCGCAACATGTGATGAACAATACGCTACACGACTAAAAGCCGTCCCAAAATCAATCGAAACGGACATTCGACCTTCATCAGCAGAAGGATTGACCGGGGTAGCAGAGGGCACCTCAGTTACCTCGGGTGCTCCACTGGGGGACGGGTCGGAAATGGGAAGAAAGGGAGTGGCTATCGAAGTGGGAGTTACCCAACTGAGAGCCATTGAGGCAGGAGCTATCGGGGTGGGGGCTATGGCCCGAGTTGAAGCCGTTTTATTTGCACCTAGTCTTTTATAAATAGTGGATGAATTGACAAATAATGATGGGCTATGTTTGTATGACCGAGGCAAGGGGTCCTCTCCAACACCAATGCCTCCGGTGTCTTCATCTTCGTTTCCACTCCCCAATCCCGCGTTGAGATGGTGCACGGAAGGAGTCTCATATGAAGCGATGTGTTGATGAATTTTTCGACGGGTTTCAGATCCAAGATCAAGCCATCTTAAAGTCCCAGTGAGTTCGGCATTTCCATCGAGACTATGAAGATGTTCGGCGACTACAGATGCAAAAAAGTAACAGTTTTGCTAACAATCAAGAAACACAAGCAGTACTGTTGATTAGGAGCGTCGCAGCAGGAGGAAAATATGACAATCATGATCGCCATACCGGCCACAACTGATAAGACTTCGATTCCTTCCCGAGGGCATCGAGGACACGGAGCAGGTCCTTTAGCGAAGGTGGCACCCGAAAAACAACCCTCGTCTTCTCAATACTCTTCGCTCTGCCTAATAGGGGGCCACGTTTCCCAGAGAGAATGGCCTGATCAGGGATTAAGCTGAGTAGCGATTAAGGCAATAGTTAATAACGACATTCACTATGTCATTTGCTTCCCATTCACTGGACATTAGTCTGCTGAGAGTACCCGTCGGCCCTTTCCTCTCCAGACGGATCCAGAATTCGTCTCCAGTAGGGTTTGCTACCCTTAAGAGTAGGAACTCGTGCTGAACTCCATCCCTTTCTTTTCTAATGACCAGCTCTTTGATTGGAGATAGATGGGCGTCGGGAGTAGATTGAATGTAGGAACATATATCGGCGAGCGATGATGATATTTTCCGGGAAGAGAAAGTGACTTTTGACCAGAAGGTCGATAGTTTTGAAGAAATCGAATCCCTGGATATGACAGAGAAGTTGTCGACCTCGTCGTCCATTATGAGAAGTAAGATGGGAGGTTGATGACTTATTGCGATAGGCGCAGTCTGAAGAGACGACGCGCACGTGAAGTTGGACCCATCGCGGTTGACTGCACCAATTATAGCTAACCTAAATCATAATGCTTAATCAGGGCTAGCTGGGGTTGTAGCGGGAAGCGGCCATAGACTACAGTTGGGGTCATGTTACAATCTTGTGACGCTTACAAAGCATATGTCAAATCATAAATTTCAAACCATACTATATAGAACTGGTCAGATTGTAATTGAGCTAAGCGCTGAGTGCAACCAGGCAAGTGAGCTTTTCCGAGTTGCCGGGATAAATTTTCTGCCTTTATTTTGGCCAGAACGGATTCCCCACCAATCAAAAGTTATTCTTGACAGATTACATAAGTCGCTTTTTAACACATTGCACTATAACTCAAGGAGTTTCGCACATGAACACTTTAAACTCCTAAGGAGCGTCCAGAAAACATTACGCTATCTCTTAGTTTATTTTATAGTCACATATTAGGCCTGCCTTTTTCGGAAAATCACAGTCGGTATATTTCCATATTAGGGAGGTCTGTCACGTGGGAGGGCCTGAGATTACGTAACCGGCATACCTTTTTGTTCTGCATTATATACCGACGCCCCCTACTAGGTTTGCTCACGGACTGGGTACGAGTCTAGATCCGGGGTCTCTGCATGTTGCTTTTCTGTTTGTCTTTGTCAGGGTGTCTCAACGTGCATATTTGCGTGCTTTGCTGACCACCCGTGTTGCTTCTCCGTGGGTTGCACGAAACCGGCGAATTTTGAGCTTTCCAGGATGCTAAAACTACATCAGCGCGAGGCTTTCATTGAATTTCAGAGCGAAAGGACGTTTACCATTGTCGATCCATATGGTTTGATTTATAAGGTTGGGGCACTCGATCATTTTGTTCCGGTACGCAGGCTTCGACTGCCTGTGGAACACGATTTTCTACTTGTCCTTCACACCGGTTGGGCGAACTGCGTCACATTTTCTACCGTGTTGTCTACTTTTCCTGTCTCCACCGCTTTCATCTCGAGGTACAAATACATTCCTCCAGTATTTGGACGGCGACATGGTCTGGAGCAAAAGCAGAGCTTCTTGTGGAGTATCCCCAACTACACCATATACCGCAGTTCTATGATCGGTACGTGGAACTGGACGTCTGTTGCGTCTACCATCGTACCACCTTGGTTATGTTCCCTACTAGGATGTCGCTTTGGGGGGACTCGGGGAGCGTGCCCTTTGCGTCTTGGTAGCTCTTATATTGAAATGCGTGGATGGTTTAGGCAGATTTCCTTCTATTGGTTCAAGTCCTGCTGGGAACCTCCGATCTTCTTCCGCGCTCACTCCTGGGTCAGAGGTACAAATGTGTCCTCGCAGCCATAGGCGAAGATATTTGAGATACAGAATATACTTTGTTAAGCCCTAGCTTGCCAGCGCCCGAGCAAGGGATTGTGTCGGCTAAATTCACATGTGCTTGTATTCTCTCCAGCGTTTTAAGTGGACACGAACATGCGCGACGAGAGCCTGGATTCGTGCCGTCACGCGATCATTGAGAGGATAGGAGATGGAATACCGCTCCCATTCCCCGGCATTGCCGCTCGTGTTCGCGTGTTCATACCGTGTCGTAGCCATGGGCAAGCCTGACATCCACCCTTCCCGCGATCGGTAGGCAGGGGTCCAGCCTCTGCAGGATACATTCGCATATACATGCGATCGGAGCGGTTGCACACGAATCTTCGACGCTGAACCATGCGGTTGCAGGTGACACTTTGGCACCTGCACGCCTGGTTCTCCTTTTGGGTTTCTCGCTTCTGCAGCGGGTGGATATTCGCCGAACTCAATCAAAAGGAATGTTACTGATGCCACTCGCAACGTGGCTTCCTGGAGATCGCGACTTAATCTGTTTTGACCGTGAAAATTCATTCCCTACATCAAATAAACGGAATACATCTTCCGGGCGCGAGTCCACGACATAATCTCTACACATGCACTGGCGACCCCAAAGAAAAAGAGAAATTTGGTACTCGGCCGGATAGTCATGTCATCCCGTCGCAGCCTTGCGAGGACGAGAGCAAGCAAATGAGCTGCTGTTCGAAGTCACTATAGCTTGAATCCCACCTGGGTAGCCCAATCAACCATCAGCCAACCACTCCCAACACCGGTGATATCACATCGTAACGTACCTCCTTCAAAGTCTCCCCAACAGTCTGCCGTTTGAAAAACTTCTCGCCTGGGTTCAACAATTCGTTATGGTTGTCCGAATAATCGGTTAGGCCATCGGCAGTGAGTAACCTTCCAAGGCCGGTGAAGGAAGGCTCTGTGGCGAAATCTTGCACGAGTTGTTCCTTGGGGATGACATTCTTTACGAGTTCTCTTCCTAAGACTTGTTCGAGCTCTGCGACGTATTCATCCCAGGGTCTAGAGGAAAGCCACCAAGGATGGATGAATGTTTTTTTATCGATGCGCCAAAATGAGCCCCCGTTGTTCATCGTACCTATTATCGTCCCAAACGCGAACCTTATCTGGGAACTTCGCTGGGTCCTGAGAAGCGAGGATGACGGCTCGAAGTGCATACTGCACAATGTGCTTTTTGCATGTGAAGACGCCTTTACGCTTGCCGGAATCAGGAATATTCACTGCGTTCGGCGCAGTCCAGCACCCTAATCGTAAGCGTGAGCCACCTGCTGGAGTCCCTACGATCCTGGTGTAAATGTTGGCTCATGCGTACGTACCAAAGATGGGCGCAAGAATTAACTCGGAAAACAACCCGACGACGAAGACAACCGTTTTAAGCCCAGCCTGTCTAGCTTCTTCAACATGTTTGGTCTTAACATTGAGGGCTGGGAAGGGGTATGGACTGATGTCCAAGTCGACGCCCCACTCTGATGGAAAGTACACCTTTACTTTTGAGGCGAGGGCTAGATATGGATATGAGACACGCGCGAGGAGTGAGGTGAGCAAACTATAGTATATCCATGGAATGATGGGGGGGGGAGGCGCTGATCGAAACTCACCGGCTTGAAGTAAGTTGTCCTGAGCAACCTTCGTCCACGTTCCCATCCCCAAAGTGCTTACCAACACATCCACGCCTTCCAACGCGCTCTCCAACGATGCAGGATTAGCATAATCAACTTGCACTATGGCCACTTTATCCGACGCAATAGACTTGAGTTCGTCCTTTGGGGTCGAGCTTGTCAGGACCTTGAACGAGGCGAATTGACCCTCGTTGGCAGCCTTGGCGAAAACAGGAACGATGTCCCGCCCGAGGTACCCAGTCGAGCCTAGCACCCCATGTCACACACGGCCACAGGGTCATCTCAATAACAAGTATGGTGTATGGGGGATGTGACCCTCACCGACTAACGCAACGACTGGCCCGACGTTCACGCTGCTCACATCGCTGCTACGACCACCATTCCCGCCTTTCCCCCCCAGGTGCTTGCGCACCGATGAACGTAGTTTCTGAAAGAACAGAATTTTGACTGATGAAAAAGTCGAAGGCGAAGAAGAATTGCTTGAGGATGACGGCGTGCAATGGATGGGTGCAGAATATTTATACAACTATATATAGCATTGAGAGCGCATGGGCGTTTCTGTAGGGTCAACTGAGGACATTATACACCAACTTCGGGGATGCTTAGAAGTGGGCGAATCTGCCGACGGTGCTGATTCTCCGCCTATTCAATCAAATTGGTAGATAATTGGGATATTCCACAGGAACATGTATTACTTAACGGATAACGTGGCCTTCCGAAATTGAAAGGAGCTGGAGCACCGGGATCCCGGCAACCGCAGCGGTGGAGGATGGTTCTTTAACGGTAATTTAATCTACGTCACACTGGCCCCATAGAACACAGTTCAGCTCAAGGTCACACAAAAGAATAGGCTTGCGCCACCGATATGTATATAACCGTATAAATATGTTCCATTCCTAGATGTGAGCAACCGCAAGGGCAACGCACGAGGCGTGAGTAAAATGGGAACCCGGAGAAATTGAAAGATAGAATCAAGGAAGAAAATCACATCCTCGCCGAGCAGACGCGAGGACGTGCGTGCACACTCCTATTTAAAACACCACTTGTCAATAATAATGTGACAAAAAATGTTATAAAATGCAAAAGATGCAGAAGCTGGAAAAGTTTGAGAAAAGGGAACGATTTATATAACAAGTATTAATTGACGTTCAACTAGATCACCTGATCAGGTAAAACTGACAGTTGCAAATTCCAGTTTTCGCGGCCTTAAACGAGGATCACGGCACCCAGCATGGCACCACCGAGAGCAGCGAGCGAGGCGGCGTTCCAGCCCAGAGCAATGTCCATCCTGGGAGTCGCCGCACTCTTACGAGTAGATGTAGGCGTCGTCGACGTTGAGAGTGTTGAAATTTGCAGTGAAGTGATAGATTCTGACGACGAAGTTCCAGTGGAAGTGCTGTGAAGGCTCGAGCTCGTACTTGATTCAGTACTCGAAGAATTAGTTTTCCTATGAACAAATTCGGAGTTCAGTAACATGAACATTGCGTTGCGAAAAAAATAAGTAAATGGAGGACGTACAAAGTCGTAGACAGAATCGTGGACGTGCGGGATCCAGAAACCGAGCCAGTGCTCGTCGAAGTAACAGAACTTGAGGTTGGGTTGTTGGTAATCGCGAACAAAGGGCTTTGCGCGTAAACCGTGTTAATGTTATCGACCTTCACCAACTTGATCTAAAAAAAGGAACGATTGAGATGAACAAGAACCACTCTAGTATAACGTCAGATAGGTTACCCAGTAATTATTTCCGGGAGGAACAACCGGAAGCTGAACGCTGAGGGAGCCAGTATTAGGGACAACGTTGTTAGCGATAGCAATGGCTGCAATCAAACATTGCTCATTCAGAGGTTGGTCATTCTAACCAGTGCAGCAAACTTACGTCCGCTCTTGAGAGGTCCAGTCCTGATACCATCATTCCCAAGCTCGCAACTGAAACTGTAGAGCCCCAAAAATGAGGAGTGTTACGGGGTGAAGTGACCATGGCAACAACTGGGCATCTCGTACTTGGGGTCAGTGGCATTCCAAATCCAAGAAATCAGGACAGTGGTGTTCCCAACCCATCCTGCACCGGTAGGCTGAGTAACTTCAAGAGTAGCTGACACGAGGGCCGGGAGGAGGGCAGCAAGAGCAACGAGACGGGTGAACATCATGTTTCGTTTGAGTTGAAAAGAGAGCTATTAAGGTGAAGCGTTAAAGGAGTTGAGGGGCGGGACAAACGACCTGAAGAGGGGGGGGAAGTGGCTTACAGCGTATGGAAAGAGTGTGAGGGCCTTGAAAAAGACTTTTTACGTGTAGCAGTTGGGGCAAGCAAACTTCTGATTTGCATCCGGTGTGTGTGATGACGTGAATAAACTTATTCCCGCAAAACGCGTTTTCGACAATTCTGGGATCATCAGCTCAGTTGGAGACGTGTATATACATAGATACGCGCGTATGTACATAATCTATTTTCGTACAAGGAAATACACATAGCAACAATTGATGTCTACCAGCCACCTCGACAAACTCCCCACCGCAAACTCGACCATCATCAGACAGCAATTTGCCGGAAGTCTGCAACAGAGGAGAAGGCACGTCCTTACGGACACCTCCATCTACGCTCTACTTGGCACAAGTGGTCGAGTAAAAAATCTTCTGACGACTTGCAATTTGACTTGAGAGCGATGAAAGAAGAAAAGTCCCCACGCTGCGGATGGAACATCTATATATAGTTGATTCGGCTGCTTCCGTTCCCTTGAAACTCTTGAGGATTTAAACTTCAGGGGCGTCCTTCTAAGGACCTGTTGAGTGCGAGCCCGAACCCCATTTGTCGCGCTCGGTTTCGATTAAGAGTTATAGTGACCATAGTCAGACAAGTTTTAGCAACTGTTCCACTATATCCAACTTCCAAATGAGTGTCAATGATGTTACCGCATACATAGTGATCTGGAAATCATCCGAAAAAATAAATGTTCGATGCGCCACACAATTTGCAGCATCTTCCTTTCGGTGATACATGCAAGCCCAACCGGGCTGGTGATAAAGCGGGCTCCAGCTTGAGAATGCCGATGCGCCTCTCATCATTACGTCTCAACAAACTGTACAAGTGGTCGCTGGTCGTGCTCGCGAATGGCGGTGAGGACAGCCCGCTCTTTGAGTTCGATCAGTACATCGCATTATTGTCGGCAAATGCGGTGATGTAGGAAGAGCCGTGCAGCGACGCCAAGCTCACCAGTGGGTTAGGTTAGCATACCCAAGATTCCTATTCATGACTTCGATCTTTGAGCTTCGTAGAACGGTTCAGTCTCTGCCAGGCCGAGGTGACATCGGCCAATGTAAGCTGCGGGCGCCGGGGGGAGCCCAGCCAGACCGGAACAGGGTGGAATACATTCTCAGACTGTACCCACAATCATGCCGCCCCGAGTGGACGGATCCGAGGTCACTCCAAGACATACAGGGAAACTTCGGCGGACAGGACTGCATCCCATCCCTGGGTGTGCATGCGGAAGGCACGTGTGCTAATCCACCTAGTACTCGTGACCCAATCAATATAAGTAGGTAACCAGGGGCTATCAGCCAACCTACCGTCTTAGATAGTATTTCGGCGTCTGAGTAGCTGCACCGATGCACTGTCTGCACTGAGGAAATTTTACGGGAGGGCCCGAAGGGCCCGAAAGCTCTCGGGTGCCCGTGACTCGTTTTTTCAATTGCAATAGTAAATGGCTGCACTTCTTCGGTGACTTTATCAAATGTATTACCGGCATCGACTTCCGATGCTCCGTCATCGCCGTTGCCGTCGCCAACATCGCCAAAGTCGTTCTCCTTCACTTTTGCTCATTTTTTTTCGTTCTTTTTTCTACTTGCTTTTCTTACACATCAATCTTAGCACTAGTCATTCTTGTTATCGCCATCACAGATAGTTCCTCCGATCTTGTCCTCCCCAAGCCCCGCTGGTAGTCGTTAAGCACATTCCTCTCTTTCTTTTGTACTCTTATACTAAAAGTTATAGTTATACTCCGATGTAAATAACTCAAACTCATCGCATCCTCAGTCTCCGCCATCGTACCATTGCTGCTCCGACATTAATGTTGCAACGCAGCTCGCATCGGTGATGTTAATATTCTTGAAATCGATGGGGAATTACACATGTGACTGCTTTTTCTGTTGCAGGCCAACCAACACATAGGTACAAATGTGTCCAAGCCACCAACGTTTGACACGTGTCGGGAAAACTTCATCCCTCACCAATTTCCGTCCTCTCTAGCACGCAACAGCAGACGCTGGCTGTTTCTTCTTTCGGGGGTTCGAATTTTGCGGTGCTTTACGTTTGCGACCTCGGCTGGTGTCGTTCGATCAGTAATAGGCTAGCCAGCAAAGGTGAGAGCTTACGTAGCAGTCGCTGCCTTTCCACTTGTCACTATTGGGGCCTGAGTGGCGTTAGGTTGGAGAGGAGATGGGGTGACAGCCGGGGCCGCAGATCTAAGGTGCGCAGGGAGTGACAGATGGTGTTAGTCCGCTCTTGGCAATGTTCTCCGCTGGCAACGAAATGCGCTGACCCTGAAGGGATATTCGCTGACCCAATGTTATTCTCCTCGTCCTCGCCATCTGTCGCACTGAATGTCAAGGAAACCTCGCTTTTTAGTGTGTCATTTCGTGCATTTGGGAGTCTCACATAGAGCGGGCAGTCTCATTGGGGTTGACTATCGCGGTGAGTGCAGCTAGCTCTTCACGCCTCTTTTCAACTTGATCTTCTGTCAATTCGACCCACTTAATCTGGCCATCCTTCCATCCTTTGAGTACCTCACGCATGTGGTCGGCGCGTGCAAGCTTCGGTTCGATCAGTTTGCCACCTGGGTAATTCGTCATGTCAATTGCGATACGATGTTTGATCGTAAGTTTCAAATAATTCCTCGGCTGCCATTCCATCGATAACCTAGACCTCCCACTCAGTTCGCCTGTGTATTTAGTTAGTGTGTGCCGGAAAGCTTGGATGACGCCACTCACGGAGACTTATCCTAGTTACCTTGGCTATTTCTTCACGCATGGCCGCGGCTGTTGCATTATATCCCTGGACCATAGCTCATGCCTCATATCAGTAAGTAGTCATGCGTTGATTTCAACCACATACTTTCTAATTTACCAACTACATGGGCCTCCATGAGGCGAATCTGTACTCCCATATCCACATGTGCTACAGCTGCCCAGAAGGCTTTGGCCTTATCTGTTCCCCAGACGACTGGCGCAAATAAGTCCTCTGAGTGGCCTCGAGTCATCAACACGAGCACCTCAACGCCGCATGACTGGTGGACTGATTTGGCCTGGTGCATTTGAGTACTAAATCCTTGCTCGCTTTTAGATGCCAGAAACGTACTATGCTCAGTAGTTGGTCCCGCGCATGGATTGCAATAGAGTTCATGGATAACTCTGGTGAGATTATCGTCTCTTTCAACGCGCGATTGTGCCTTTTAACCATAACGCCGTCCAGAATAACCTGGGAAGTGTACTCTTCCTCTGATGTCATGGGTTTTTGGACGTCCTCGTATGCGAGTTTCCCCCCATTGATGTCCTCGAGTACTTTCAGGTACTCCTCCTTGTAAGGCAGGTTAGGCAATGCCCCTTCTAGAGTACTCCGTAAGCACACGCCCCTCTTGCTCATGTAAGTTAATTCCTTACCTTTCAAACGTTCTGCCTCTGCCTGTGCATGGGCCCATGCGTTGGGCATTGTGGGCTTACGCGTCTTCTTAGGTTTTGATAATTTATAGATCACTTGGTTTCGGATCTGGCGCTGGGAATAGTGATGGCCACGGCGTGAAAACTCAAGTGCAATAGCTGACACCTGAACCTCGAAATTTGCCTTCAGTTGCATGATTCGCGCATTAAATTCCTGCTTCGTCACGTCCTTCTCTTTCGCTTTGGCCACTGGAACCATTTGGGGTGTCAGTACGTCCTATTACTTCGGCTTGAAGTAAGTAACTCCAACATTACCTTGCGGTGTTGGCGCAACTGACATTTCGGAGTGACTGTGTTGAATAGAAACAGAGAAAAACAATAACAAGCAAACTCAGGGTCTTTCAATTCATTGAACGTCCATGCTTTATCAAATTTATATAATACTGAACTCCATTTTTTTAAACGTATTTTAGCAGTAAATTCACATATGTTGTTGTTCAACATGTAGAAAATGTGTTTACGCCCCTCGGTTTGCAGCTGCCACCTTTGCAAGTAAGTATGCCTCAGCTGGCGTACGGTCGAAGCGTTTAACCAGCATATCACGATAGCTGATTTCGTTGAACTCCTCAGATCGAGCCAAAAGAACAATGAAGTGTATATCTGTGTCGGTAAGCTGGCGATCCTTATCAGGAAGTTCATGAGGCTCGACGGCACAACATGATGACATGGGTGTACTGGCTGGTGGGACTGTTGAGTCCTTTGTTGGGGATGTGACGCTTGGAATAGGCAACTCATATGTTGACTGCAGAGTTGCCACATTTGCTTGAGTTAACGCCGATGGCTCAGGGGTGGGATTGACTGGAACCATGGGCTGACGGCTGGCTACATTCAAGGATCCTTCAGCCTTTAGCACCACAGTTATGTGTCAAAGCACTCACCGTTGCTTGGCACAATTACACTCGATGCACGTGAAACCTTTAGGACATGCTCAGACACTGCGTCTGCATCTGGGCTTTCGCTGTCAAATCTTTCCCATAGGCTAGATGAATCAGACACGGTCCGTAGCTTCGAATCTGTAGGGGGACCTGGGGGCATCGGTGTGGACGTTATAGAGGCTGGATCCGGCATCTTGAAGGAAAGTGGGGGTTGAGAACTGCCTTTACTCTTGCTGACGAAACGGCCCGCTGATACAGAATGAGCCCTGGAATGGGCTGGCGTAGAGACCTTGCTCGCAGTTGCATGCATGGTACTTGTGCTCGTGACGGAACTTCCCTGATTGGTTGGGGAGGTGGGGGATATCACCATCTGAATCACCGGTGCGCTGATGGACTGAGGGGTTTTCATGAATGCGTCCAGGAGTTCTGATCTCAACTTTTCCCAGCCCTCATTAACTCCAATGCTTTTCGGTGCAATGATGTCGATAGGCGCCTTTCGGCCCTCATAATCAATCAAGGCAAAGCTGTGGTGTCCAAGGCGATCCAAGATGGAGGTCTTTCCTACAGGTAAGGTTCGTAGTCCCATGAAAGGTTAAGAGCTACCCACTAATGCACGAATATCCCACATCTGAGTGCGCACCGCTAGCAACGGAGCTAAGAGGTCCTCCATTACCATATGTGCCATCTCCTTTGTAAAGACTTCTCTTGGAATAACCCGCTCGATGTCTTCTAGACGTTGTTGCCCCACCCCGAGTGGAGGCCCTCCTGCGTTGTTGTAAGCATGCTGGGAACGTGTTTATGAATCAGCACTCACCGTTCACTTTCCATGCCATGTAAAAGTCCAGGATGTAGCTCTCACTCACATTTCTGTTGAAACCCTTGACTTCATTGTCATCCCAGCGGTATACTCTACTGCTGGCTTTAACATAGCTCTCAAAGACCTCTTGTGCGGTTGCTCGTGATTTTGTGTACATCAAGTCTGTTAAAGTGAGTGAGTCCTCTCCTAAGCAACAACTTAATGTGTATTCACCGTCGTCCTTATTCATATCAATTGACTAGAAGAGCTTGTGTAGCGCACTAGGCAATGTGTTGGCAGTGTTCAAATTGAATGTCACGGATTCCCATTGAATTGCATGTTGGCTCAATGAATATTATATTCAAGTGACGAACTGACAGTTATCACTCCTTTGACTGTCGTTTCCTCAGTAGGCTCAACAATCCTTCCCAGCGTCAATCATCTCCATTATCATACTGCTGTGAGCTTTCTTCTTCATTCCGCGTCAAATGCCTTACAAGTTTGCCTTGCCAGATCAGGATGGGCAACAGGCGCAAGCGCCATGTAATCATGACTAATTGGGGTACGGACTCATTAGCCCTTACTCGGAGTGGTGCAGTGGCACGGAAGAAGGCACGGCTAGCCACAGATGCAGCCCATGAAGAATTGATGCAAAGTAAGCTTGATCCCCCCCAAACTTTGCGTTATCTCATGATCATCTTGTGGATGGCAGCTGCATCAAAAGCTGTTGTCAAAGGTCTTTCGGAGATTCAGGATGGAGGGCCAGCACCGGAGATTCTTGACGATTGGGAGGACGAGCCGGGAGATCAATTGAACCTACTTGACGACGTCGGGCTTGACTATGAGCAGTTACGTAGACTGATATCAACGATAGCACCAAAGCCGTGGGTCCCCTTTGTCTTAAGCGTGCTGGGTGATTGTTTCAGACCATATTTTTCAGGCGCAGGAAGGGGCGCGAGTGGAGTACACGGATGTCCAGGCTTCATGCCCAATGGAACGAGCAACTTGACTCACTTTCCAAGCTCTATCTACGCATCAAGATAAACAATTTATCCTGCACACCATCGCATTACCCAGAGCCTCGGCAAGGGAGCAACTGGTTTGAGATACAATGCATCGATATCTTTAGTGAGTTACGTCCTATATTGTACGGAACGTTCATCCTCCCTTTTCCTTGCAGATGGTCATTCGATTGAATATATACCATGGGACGAGATAGACAACCGTGTGCATGCACTCCTGCGTGCAGGGTACCTTCCTCCAACGCCAACAGACCCTCAAGTTGCATTCTCCTTACGAACCCTCGAACTTCTTTATTCGCTTTTCCGGGTGGCATCGAACTTCAGTATCCAGAGCTTTGCTCGGTTGCTCACTGACATGCATAAGGTTTTTGGTTTTTTTTTGTTATTAATATCTTGTTTGCTAATGTATACCAATAGACGGTATTCCAGCCTCACCTTAGAACGCAGGTCTCACTTGCGTTTGACATCTATTACCGTATCCTGGATCGACTACGTGGTATTGTCCAGCAGCAACTTGGATATAATCTACCTGATTATCGGCTCAGGCACTCCTGTCCTGCCTGCCATCATAAAGTAAGTGCAATCATTATAAAGTTGTAGCGCATATCTCGGTAATATTGTGCTCTAGGTCGAGAATGAGCCAGAGCGTCCAATCCAGTTTATTGTGACTGGTGATGGGAACACTTCCCTCTCACGGCTTCGTCACCATTTTGAGGGGGATTCTCGTGCATTTGTCAGCGATTACTACATCACTCGGGAAGATGTTGACCGCTTTGCTAGCGCCCAAAAGCATTCACAACGAGGGACTTCAAGCCAGGTATGTCTATCCTTTTCATCCAGCATCCCCCACAACGACATTCCATGACAGAAGACAGAGGAGCCTTTGATATCGGATGCCTGCTTGGCTTGGAAGAATGCCCGACCGATGCCATCGAAGTCAAGATCTGGGGCCCTACAGGTTATGGATGAAACGGGTATTTTTTCAGTTGTTTGTCGCCATGGAATCGTACAGTTCCTTATTGATATGGTTCAGAGTGGAGAGCTGTGAGCCACAAATTCTGGTATTTGTCACGCGGCTAATGTTGTGATAGTGCAAAATACCCTCTGGCTTCTGCCGAGAAGCTCATACGTACATTTGGGAAGAACATATTGTTCGTTTACGATATTGGGTGTACTTTCTCTGTGACTTTATCGAAGTCATCGATTGGGGATTTGGCCAAAGCGGCCAATTTCAGGTGTTGTACCGGTTCTTTTCATGGTGCCGCCCATGACAGGTCCTGCCAGTTGGACTTCCTCATCAGTTTACAGAAAGGCACGGGTATCGAAGATGGTGAGGGCAATGAACGCGTCTATTCGGAGAGCAATGCCCTCGCACCCATCATTCGTCATGCTTCTCCTTATTACCGTCACCTCCGTATCCACCTCCATTTCTCCAAATGGGATGAGATCAAGTATGAGAAATTAGGTATGTCTCATTGCTTCATGTATAGCTTAATTATCATGGACATCGTCTTTGATAGGTGACTTCCTGTTGAGCAACTTCAAGTCCGCTGACAGGATCATTCGTGACAGTAAAAAAACCCTTGACGCCACACAAGAGTTATTCTCTGACTTTGATCCTGACCAAGACTGCCCACGGTGGCTATCTGAAGAACGAGACTATATCTTTTCGCTTCAATCTGAGCCTGACGATGAGAAGGTCAAGATTGAGTATTTAGAAGCTATCGAATATCTTGAGCGTGCTGAGTAAGTAGTCAGTAATGTACATTGGCTCTGAGCTTGCATTCCTTCTAATTTAGAGCAACGGTGCATTACTGGGTAATGCAAGCTGCAACGCCGGCAGGAGTAGTTGCGTATTTTGGGCAGCACCTAGCTCAGGCAAACGAAACCCTCGAAGCTGCTCGCTCAAGTGTGTTGGCAATTGAAGCCAGATCATCGCTGACTCTTCCTTGGGCACTTGATTCCCCTCAACGCCACGAAGCAGTAGTTTTGCGCCAACAGCGGGATTACCACCAAGTCCTTGATGAGCTTGAACAACGAGCCATATCGCGTCAGCTTGAGCTTGAGAAAATTGGGTTGCCAAAAACAGGTATGAACACTATTTATCTTATCTCGTAAAACATTGTTTACCATCTGCTCTCAGACTATAAAGCTCGCCAGCAAATTTCTGCATTGGTCGCTAAGCGAGGGAAGTCCCTCCAGTCGATACTTGAGAAGTATAACAATATGGCAGCCTCTATGAACCCTCCCAAACCATCGCTTACGTGGCAAGATGTTACGGACTTGAATTTCCTGTCCGACATCGTTCTTTTGCGTGGCCGTGAAGATATCCGGGATAAGCCATGGTTTCAGCACCACTTCCGTGAAGCAACACGCGCCTGGCACAAGTTTCAACGTGCTCGCGAAGAGATTGAGATTGTCAGCATCGAAGCTCACCGGATATGGGCGTTCATGGACGAGGAAGAAGCTCGGCTGCATCAAAACATCGAAACTATCAAACCTACTGACCCCGAGCTATCGAGGTACATAGCACTCCTCTTTGAGTACCGACTCAGAGCAAACAGACACCTGCGTAGCAAACTGAGGCTTCTGGAGAAGCAAGGTGGCACCTGCACACCTCTTCCAGCACCCCGCATTGTTGGAAGCCCCGTTTCAACGGCAGACACAGGCCAAGCTGATGTATCAACCCCTGATCGTATGTTTGATCTATCACTATGTCTGGATTGCCGTGCTGACAATGATCCATCCTCAGCTGGGACGGCACCCGATCCCAACCTGGACAGCCCTGGCCCTTCAGAGAGAACCCCCAACAACGGCCAAGATCCTACGATGGGAAATGGCCTTCAAGACACAGTGGTGGAACAAATTTACCCTGACGCTGACTGGGAGGATGAAAACGAAGACGCCGATGGCGATAACCATGACTATCACCATGTCATTGGAAGAATCGTGAATGCATTAGAAGCTATGGATGTGGGATCTGTGTAATAATTATAATTATATCATGATGCGAGAACAATGGCGATAACAAGAACGACTAGTGCTAAGATTGATGTGTAAGAAAAGCAAGTAGAAAAAAGAACGAAAAAAAATGAGCAAAAGTGAAGGAGAACGACTTTGGCGATGTTGGCGACGGCAACGGCGATGACGGAGCATCGGAAGTCGATGCCGGTAATACATTTGATAAAGTCACCGAAGAAGTGCAGCCATTTACTATTGCAATTGAAAAAACGAGTCACGGGCACCCGAGAGCTTTCGGGCCCTTCGGGCCCTCCCGTAAAATTTCCTCAGTGCAGACAGTGCATCGGTGCAGCTACTCAGACGCCGAAATACTATCTAAGACGGTAGGTTGGCTGATAGCCCCTGGTTACCTACTTATATTGATTGGGTCACGAGTACTAGGTGTGCTAATCCAGCACTAACCAGCTGACAATAATATGTGGGCACCGTGACAACGATATCAAATATTGATGCAGCCACGAGACTCCCTTTGGGCCTCTCCCAGCCCCTCCCCAACGACAAACCCCAGTGTGCACCCACCAAAAAAAGAAAAGAAAAGAAATCATTTCGGCAATGTCCGCCTCCTGCAGATCTCCATGAGGCAGCTAGCTTCTGCGGCATGCATCAATGTGCAGGATAGGAGTGAGTTACACCCTTTCTAAAATTTCACTGGCACGTCAGAACTCCAACGGTGACCTCGACACCACCTCCCTGAAATCATCGAAAACCGTTGACACTACTTAACCTCCAGATAACGCGAACTGTGGCGGTGTTGGCATCCGTCCGCGGCAGTGGGCACTTTCCCACGGGTGCCAAGTTTGTGAAGGGTCGAAAGTTCGCAGCAAAACTTCCGCGCGTGACTCATAAGTACAACGCGTGAGGACGGCAATGTGTTCGGTATTTGCCGGTCCGATATGCAAACCTTGCCCCTATATTGACTGCTTACAACGATATTCTGGTGTATTTGCGCCATCTCGAGGCATTCACCTGCGCCTTGTTGGATTTTTTATTTCATTGGTTTGCTTGGCGCGAAAATTCAACTTCGTTCAAGTGAGCTGTGCAGTAACGAGCCCCCAACGGACCTAATAAACTCTTGTGTAACCGATCTCGGACACTTCGGCCAAAACGTGCTCAAAACGTGCTTGTTCTCCTGGGATTCCCCAGCAGACATGCTTCCTTCCGTGTTGTTCTCCCTTGCGGTCTTCATTCAGACTTGCGTGTTTGCCTATGCGGGTGGAACCACATCCTTCGCGTCCGTACTCTGATACCATTCTCTCTTCCATGTAGTCTCAACAGCAGTTGATGGAAACGACGACCGGAGATGCTCCGTTTTCCGTAGACCTTTCCGCCCTTGAAAGTGCAGTATATTGTCCCAATGGCATCCGCAAAGCTGCTGGAGGTGAATGACTGGAACACCTTCTAACTTTATGGACACCTGAACTTCCCTTTCCTTAAGGCGTTGTGCTTCTTGTTCATGGAACCGGTTCAACCGGATATGAATCATGGGCGAACGGCCCATATGGAGTGTCAGTATATTATTCCACATTTCTAGTGGAAATTTTATATTTACATCGGTTTCCTCAGGTATCTTCCTTGGGCTGCTCCCGGATTCGATGTCTGTTGGTACGAACTCGATTCACACAATTCATCCAGGACACTCACAGAAACGCTCACAGGGTGGATCTTCCCAGAAAGTAAAGGAAATTCTCTGTCAGAATTCCTACCTCTAACTTCGTAAGCATGAAGTTCACTTATCGATGCACAAGTTTCTGCTGAGTAAGGTCTTGAGTAAGTTCGTTTGACTCGAACCTGACTTGATTCTTTCCTCCAAGGTATATCGCCTACAATATCCCCCTATTAGCGGCGAAGAGCTTCACAGGAAAGGTGTCGATCATTGGCCACTCAGTACGTCGGTAGTCTTCTTTAGGGTACATATCCTTTATGTGTTATTACTATAGCAAGGGGCAGGTTTAAACCCTCAATGTTAGTTTAGCCGTTTTCCGAAGATGGATTAAACGGTTTATTCCCATGCTTCAGGGGCACTAGATTTTTGGCCATCTATTCGTCAATATGTCTCCGACTACATCGTAAGTGTTGCATAGCAGGAATGAAGCTATACCCCTTTTCCTCGCCTTTCAAAATCCATTCAGGCACTCGCAGGAGACTTTCACGGCACACTGGAAGGCCCGGTTTCTTGCTTATGTCAGTGGGTTTTGCTGCCTGACACTTTCACCCGGGGGAACTATTACTATTGCTTATCCCGTATTCCTATGAGCAGCCCAGGATTTACTGCATAGCGGCTGTTATCCGTCCGTCGCACAACAGACAGCGAGCTCTAAGTATTTGGAAGCCCAAAATGAGCGTGGTGGTTCAGCATTGGTGACCACGACTAGGTATGCCAATTGGTCAACACTAGAATAGACGTACACTAAGTCTGAGAATGCGCTCATATTGCTAGTATCTACACTCGATATGGTAAAGAACATCTGCTCTGGTAGGAGACCCTTTCGCAGATATTCATTGCCGAATCATTCCATAGATGATGTTATTCAACCCGAGGTCGTTAATCCCACTTCTGTGCTTCCTGGAGCTGCAAACCTCGCTTTACAAGGCAAGCCAACTGATTCTGTGAAAGAATTACGTGTATCTCATTTTCTGTGTTGATCCTGCATACATACAGACCTTAACGTGTGTGGTCCTCTGCACAAAGTTGATCACTGTAAGCGTCATTGATTCTGTCAGTACCCAGCTAAATAAAATTTCCCTGTGGTTGTATCACGCGTTCTGTCATGTAGTTACTATTCTCTTCGACCCTGCAGCCTATGCTCTCGCATATGACGCTCTCACTCATGACGGACCGGCTTCAACCTCTCGTTTTAACGCGATCAAGTATTGCAGTTCTTTTGTAAACAACACTGCCCTGAACCCAGCGCGCGGTCCTGATGAAGTGCGAAGCTTTGTTCTGGGCAGTTTGAGGACTGGAGGTCTTTCGAACGTCACGAAAGTCAAACATGAACCCCTCCTTAAAGTAAGCATGCTCGTAGGGAAGCATGATGATTGCACATCCTCATCCCTCTCCAAGGAATACGTTTGTGATCAAGGGCAAGCAACCGTATGCAACTTGTGAATTTACTCGCACGAGGGAGTGCTCGTCTGGTCAAGGACAGGATAATTTTCACCGGACGTCCTAATTCTCGCTACTTCCGTGTGCCGTTTCTTCAGAAACCTATATCGCTAAAAAGGCCCTCCAAATTTGATCAGGGGTCTCGCCCCTTTCGCTAAAACTCTATGGTGGCCATCATGTTATTACGGCAGCAACTAACTGCGATTATTGGTAGCACCAGTATGCATAGACCCCGGGTGTGCTGACGCAACTGGGATCATGAGGATGACGCCAGATCGAATTTTTGTTGTTGCCCCTCAGAAGTCCGCAACAGCGTTGAAAACTGTCTTGTGCGCCGCTCTTCTCTCGGTTCATCGAAGTGTGCAACCCAGTTGCACTTGCTTAATTCCCAGGAGGACAACATGCTGTCGTGACTACTGTTCCTGAGAGATGCTTTTCGTGCACTTAACGGGCATCCCTACGGCCCCCTAAGCCAGCTGCTGAGGAAGTTGGATATGAGGTATCTCTGACCGTCCAGCGTGCTCAAAGGCACCAACCATTTATGGTTGAACGACCTGAATCGGCTGAGATGGCGGTTCCTTTTTTTTTTGGTTGAACCCTCGCAATATTAACGTATAGGAGGCCTTTGGCTGCCTGTCCTCTGTCTTGATACCATCTATCCTCTGCATGTTCTCTCCTGCGAAGAAGTTATCGTTGGAGATATTGGTTCGGAGATATGTGCATGCAAATTCCCAAGACAAAATAGACTGTTGTTATGAGTTAACCTGGGCGCTCAGCGGCAACACTCGAGTAAACTGTATATTACATATGTTTAACTACAATATTTTTCACTATCAGTACTACAACGGGCCTATGCTACAGGGTGAACAACGCACGGACGCGTGGGAGAGGCGGTGTTGGGCCGTGCAGTAGCAAACCTAGTAGCGGGGAGAAAGGGGAATCCGATGAAAAAATTCCCATCGGTTACAAGCGTGAAAGGCCTCCAGCCTTGTCCAAGTCCAAAGCAAAAACAGTGCAGATCCCACACCACTTGTTCGACTTTCAAACCATATATCCTCAAAATTCGAGACCCAGCTAACCAATCGCACGGAAAACAAAACTAATAAACTTCGATCCAAGTTTCGTGAATCTTTTCGTTATCGCCCCAATGTCTAGGGCGGTAGCCACGTTTGTGCTTCATACGCTCACGCACGGACCAATGGTAACTGGGCTTTGAGCGATTAGTCAAAAACTCCACCCAGCGTTTCGACAAAGCATCTGTGTGTTGGGGTACTGCGCCTCGATGAATGTCGCGAGGATTGAATAAGTTGCATCTGAAGCATTTTCGAGAGGTCACCAAACTCGTCAGTCAGGCAATGCGGTGTGAAACGTTGAAATCCAAAACCCAACGTACCGAAGCTTGGACTCCCACAAGAACGTGTGCTTGTTCTGCACATGCCTCATAAGGGGCGCCAACTCAAGCACCCACCACCACAACATTGTTACGATCGCGCTAAAAGTAATGCGATCCCACCTCCACAACTCGTCGTATGATTCAGCTTTCAAGTCCCTCTCGAAGAAATCCAAGTCATATTTGACACCAGACTTAAACTCCTTGGATCGAAGAAAGTTAGCCCGTCGAGGATGCCTACCCAGCACTTTTTTATCAGCGTCCGTTGGTTTGACTAGTACATCGCTTGGCGCTATCCTGCTGGGGTCTGTATTCCCACCAACAAGAGGGGAAGGAGGTCTCCCCGATGTGGGAAGAGTAGAGGACCGGCGATCGGCTGGATTCTGTGCGCGCCTCAAATACCTGTTCTCGAGGTCATCGTCAAGGGTGATATTGAAGTCACTACCATCGTCGTTTGTGTATATGATGGGAGGTAAGTAGATACCATAGCGGGCCAGGCGGACAGATCGCCAGCGAATATTGAGGTTATATTTCAAATCCGCCTCATAGAACTCGCGGATCATCCATCGAAGAGGGATGTTGGCAAGTGAAGGCGAGTACCTTGGTTCGTTCGGGCCCAGCTTGTCGATCTCATTCCAGGGTTTGTCGTCCGGTACGTTTCCGCCGCCGACATCTAGTAGGATTAGGAAGTGGGACACGAGTTTTGACGGGACAGAGTTGAAATACCATACCGCAGTGTCCACCTGCAAACCAAACCTCCCTCAAGTCAGGCGGAAACTGTTCTTCTGGAATCAGGGTCGTGGGTGGTTCATGATCGCCATAGTTGATTAATCCGAGACGGTTCAATATATCATGTGGCCACCACTCGATGAACCATTTGAAGAAAATGCCGACAAAAATATCTCTCAACGCCAATACCCAGTCGATCGTGGCCTGAATACCCTCAGTGTCTGGCGCAATGGCATCTTCTGCAGCTTGTTTCGTGACCCAGTTTCCATTTTTGCATTGTTTTTTTGCTCCCGTAAGCCTCCACGGCGAAGGAATAAACCTTTATAACCAGCACAGACGCAGAATCGGCAATCATGCATCAAGCTTCACGCTGAAGCGCACTTACTTGGCTCGTCTCTCATCCAGAGCCAGTGCATGCCTAAAAACTTTGATGGAACTATTGCTTTGGGAGAAGGGCAACGCGCGCGGCACAAGAATGCCAACAGATGCAACAGTATCCCAAACTCCGAGGAAGTCAACAGTGACGGCACGACAGAAGTCACGTTTGTAGTTCCGGCTGGAGAAGAGGGGGGATCAGGCATGGCTTGAGACATTGACACATGAAGGGTTGGTGCTTGCCCGGGATCGCTACTGACAACACTACCTCTACCCAAGTTCTGGTAAAGCTTGTAGGCAAATTGGACTTGCTCGGGCATCGAGGGTGGCAAAAGCCCGACCTATTCGCACGCCGGATCAGGCAAACACGTCCTCACACTACCGATTAATATATATTCGTACCGCATGTAGCATCCCAGCTAGAGCTCTAGCAGTATATGCACCTCTGGAAAAGCCAAAAATGCAAATTTTGTCACCCTGATTCCAATTCGACTGAAGAAATCGATATCCTCCACAGACCTGCCGCAGATAGATCAGAATTGAACCAGGAAATGCCCACCTAGGACTTACATGGTCATCAAGGTGCAACGCGACGCCTTGATCGATGGTTTTAGATATCCACTGGCCAATAGATGTGCTGAATCGAGTCGAAGTGTATGTCCCAATGCCAGTCTGGCGACGCACAGGCCTCTCAGTGATCAGAATAAACACGGACGGTATGATTCTAACCTGATAGTACACTAACTGTTTCGGGTGGGATTTCTCGAGGCACGAGAAGAGACGAACGATGTTCTGCAGGGCAATTGCAGTCAGTTGAAATCATGTGCGCTCCATAAATCTTACAGTGTTCGTATCATCATACTCATTCGCCGTCCCATCGAAGCAGAGGATCAATGTACGGCCTAGATGGACCTTGGGTGTTTCCAACTCTTCCTCGTCTGTTATCTGGTTGATGAGTACGGACGAGAGTCCTTCCTGGATATCGAGAGCTATAGGGAAAGTAGCCATCTTCAGGATGTCTCGTTGAGGGGGGGGAGGGGCTAGGGACAAGGGTGTGGGGTTCGAATCTAGTCATTTATGTAGACAGGCTGGACAAATCCCTCCAATTCGGCGCAATACATTTGATGGAATCTGTGACAGGAAGTGGGAGCGGCACTTTGCTAATCGGCTCTGATGGTCCAGACAGCGAAGCGCTTGATGGCCAAACTCCCCCCCTTAATCTCGGGACTTTCGGGCGGACTTAATCATACTAATTGAATAGCGCTGGTCACGACCAGCGCTAAATCATGAAAATAGCAAACAACCGAGAAAGAAAATTGGATGGGGTAACCGGCCAGGTATGTTACAACAAAGCGGTATTTTACCCAGGAAATTCTAGCCCATGTAGAACACTCGGGTGGTGCATGAACTAGATGCCTTCCGGAATTTCCGGCCACAGTTCTTGCTCTGTGTTGATCGAGTGGACGTGAACGCGATGACTAATTCGGTGCCTGATCAATACGTCACCGCGTGACACAGACTCAGTGCCAGTCGCTCACGTGAGTTTCGCCGAAGTATATCCGAATTTTTCGGCGCGGCGAAACTGCGTAAGCGACTGGCACTGAGTCTGCGCGTGACATGGGAAATTCTAAGCGGTACAAAGATCCAGAAATAACATATATTGGCAGATGGGTAGTTATACGTACATCCTTGGATACATGCAGTCTAATCAGCTGAGCGAGGACGCACTATGGCAGTCAAATAACACAGTGAGAGGGAGCGGATGCAGAATCTGAAAAACCAACGCACAGCGCAACACAGACAGGCAGTCGGAAGTGCACACGTAAGTCACCAGAGGGATGAAAGGAATGATCCAACCTGGTCATAAGCCACACAAAGGGGCAAGCCCCTAATTTGCAGTGGTGAGCACCCGCAGAATCCCATTGGCGCTGCAAAAACACAGGATAACACAGGACCCGGCATGCTGGCAGGGAGGGCTCGGGGATTAGGGTAGTTGGTCCGCTTAGAATTCCGCGCGTGATTAGAGGAGGACATGCGGATACAACTTGCAGGAACGCGCCATTGGCAGCACAGGAGAGTAGTCTTGCCGGTGCAATTTCGAACAAACACTTGTTCCAAACTGGTGCATGCGATCGAACATATGCATGTTGGTACCGTGAAACATCCAAATATCCTGAGATCGACAGACTCAAGATCATGAGAAAGGATACTGTCCACATTTTCCTCGCATTCATGATGGCTTCATGGTGACTCACCATAAATAAGAACAATGTGCGGAAGGCGAGCAGCAGCTCGAAAGTGATAGTTGAGATGATGAAGAAAAGTTGAATTCAGTTTCGACCCTAATAAAGATGTGAAATTTAAGCGCGTATTGCGATATTTACGTATTCAAATAATTCTAGTAAAATTTACAACCTAAGGTAAGGATGATAGGTTTTGAGGGTGAGGGTGTGGAGGCGAAAGTTGCTTATGTAAGCGTCGATCACCGTCCCTTTTTTTTTCGGTAGCCTTCGCGGGCGGGATGCCTGAAGGTTTTGTTCCAAAGGGTGACGATGATGGGTGCCTCTATATGAAGAGAATTGCCACCACGGGGAAATGCGTTACCACACTGGCGAGATGTGCGTGACCGCGGAGGGTCCGGTTATACCACAACAACCCCGTTGCACTTCGGCCAATTCTCAGGGAGGCTCAGTTCGCCCCCCAGGGTGCTGCTCCAGGTGTAGAACGATCCGTATGGGGAGGGCTCTGTTACGGTATTTCTTTTTGTTCGTGAGGTTCCTGTTCTGGTTCAGTTTTTCATTCATGGCGGTTCTGATCATGGTTTTGTTCTCACCAACCCTCTTGGTTGAGGTTTATGCAACGATACAAACGCCGCTTACGGACTTGATGCGTGGAAAATGCGTGGAGATGATTTCAACTACCTTCACAGCAATTAGTTACCATAGAAGTCGAGCTTGGACTTTGAACGTGAATCAATTCCTTGACGCTGTCCAATCATTTGCCAGGATCGAGAATAGAGATTTTAACACAATGTCCGTCAGTTCGGTCAAATGGAAAGCTTCCCAACTTGTTCACTTAATATCTAGAGGGCTAGAATCGCCCCGGGGTCCCCCTTCATCAAGCCCCCCCCCCCCCCCCCCCCCCCAACACTCTTTGTCTCTCCTGCCCCTACCGCAAAAATATGCCATCCTATGTATTCCACGTCTTTCTCCCAGAAAACAATGGCCTCAACCCACCCAAATTCGTTGCTACGAAAAATAAGAATGGCTGCTGGATTTGCAGGTTCCGCAAGAAAGCCTGTAAAAAATACAGCGAGACAGACACAGAATACGACCCAGCGGACCATCGCTGCTACGATTGCAAGAAATTCAACATTGTTTGCTGTGGCCAGGGAGAAGACCGCCCTTCGGTACGTTCTTAATCTGCCTACCCCCCTACCTCCCTTGCCTTACGTTGCCGTTTTCCAGGGCCCTGGCATCTGCTCCGCTGTACGCAAAAGGACCCACGAATGGATTTCGCTCAAATTAAATAGGCGCTCTGGTGTTCCCCCACTTGACCTCTCTTATCTCTGGACAAAACAGTCGGTGGCTTCGTCATCCCCTCCGACGCCTCCACCTGAGAGCATTGACTCCATCTCGGAGTCCACTGGATTCTTTACACCTCCCGAGTTTCCCGACCAGTCCGCTGTCGCCCTCTGCCGCTGAGCCTTTTGACCCCGCCCTGCCTGGCGCGACCCTTCTCACCCCCTCTCCGGAGTGCAGCGGCAGCTTCACGCCCCCTCCCGAGTACAATACCGCTCTGTTTGACGCGCCTTCCTTAATCCTTCGCAACGTCGCCCTTGGCCTCCATCCTTGCCGCCTTCTCTCAATTACAGTTCGGACAACCCCTCTCCGCTACTCCTTCTGATCCATCCTTTGAAGCTGTCTAAATGGGCCTCGATCACCTCACGTCTCACTAGGGTCTTGCATGACTTCGCACGCACCTCCTACCGAGAACGCCGTTTCATACCCAAGTTCCGTGACCTCCAGTCCCGAGAGTGAATCTATTTATCATCAACCCCTTCCTTTTGGTTTGACCCCAAGGGCGTATTTCCATTTCGTGTCCCTCGTGCGGCGAATTCCGTCCCCCCGCCTAGCCTCGTCTAGCCTCGTCTAGCCTCGTCTAGCCTCGTCTAGCCTAGCCTAGTCTCGCCTAGTCTCGTCTCGTCTCGTCTCGTCTCGTCTAGTCTCGTCTAGTCTCGTCTCGTCTAGTCTAGTCTAGTCTCGTCTAGTCTATTCTCTACTGACCAAGTGTCACTTGCTGGAATTGAACAGGTAAGTTTACCAGCGGTGCGCTTGCCCTCTGATTCTAGGACATTTTCGAGGTAAGTTAATCGAGTGCTTACAATGGCGAAAACCAATTGCTCACTGCGTTCCTCAGAGTGCAAGGGTAGCACCACATTAGATAGTCGCTGGTGCGAAGTCGTTTTGTCACCTCCAATACCACTTACATCTTTGCAGGCGATCGGATTGGCATCTAGTCCTAGTCCAGTTCAGTCCAGTTCAGTCCAGTCCAGTCTCGTCTTGTCTCGCCTCGCCTCGCCTAGTCTAGTCTATTTTCGCATTGTCCTTTGGCCTTTGCCCTGTGGGCAGGGCTGTAAGAAGGCGTGTGATATTGATTTAACTAGCAAGGGAAGAGCATCAAAAATGTAGCTTGGAAGTTGGTACAACTAATTTCTTTAATCGTCTAGCCTAGTCTAGCCCAGCCTAGTCTAGCCCAGCCTAGTCCCGTCCCGTCTAGCCTCGTCTCGTCTAGCCTCGTCTCGTCTAGTCTCGTCTCGTCTAGTCTCGTCTAGTCTAGTCTATTATTTTTTAACGCCATTCGTTGTGGTTGATCCATCTCGAAAGTGAGCCACGAGCCACTGTCCGAACGGTCAGGTATGGAACCCCCTACCTCGTTAGCCGAGTTATCAGACCCCGACGCCCTCACCAGGTGAGATGCAATCGCGACTCGAAAGAGCGTCAATTATCAGAGACATCTGCGCAACATGACGTCGGCGTTGTCCATTTGCCTTTCCGAGGGTGTCAAGTTGTCCACCCGCCCTTTACCGCGAGAACTAACGGCGAAGAGATCTTCTTACCGGATACGTGGACTGATGGAGCAAACCTTGAAGGCCGTTGTTTTACCTTGTCTCCCCTCCGTCCGAATTCCTCAATGCCCCAACATCTCATTCTTGTGCCTCATTTGTGATGTCGTTTCGTTCTATGTAGTTACTCCTTGATCATTGTCTCACTTTGTCACAGATCGCACCCACTTCGAGGCGGACGAGCGTAAGTATTCATTAGGCTGCGAGTTCGACTGCTCAACGACTGCAATCGTCTGCAGGTTTGTCATCATCCACACGGAACCAATCCTCTATTCCCTATGTGAGAGTGATTCGTTTCAACGTGTTTTGGCTTTTGAGACGGGACCTGCACTCTTGTTTGTTGTGAGGGCCGGGATGCAAGGTAATTCGCTCATTTGCTACTAGCCAGATGTCGATCGGCCCGTCTTCTTTTTTCAAGGTTTGTTCATTATATGCATCCTGCTTCCCCTGTTCACGTCGCCCCCTCTTGTCTAAAGGTCACCTTCCTGTTGGGAACCGGAGTGCTAAACAGGACCCTCGGATCCAGCAGTAATGACAGACCTGGTTAGTTTTTCAACACCCGACAAAATGCTAGAAGTCTGACGTCCGTGTATGCAAAGGAGCTATTTCATCCGCGGAAGCCAGCCATTGAACAACCAGGCACGGCGGAGGTAGATAAGGATGTAGCCGTTGATTGGGGGCCAGATCCAGGGACGAGCGGCGGTCCTCGTGGCGCCTTTCATATTCTTAACCCCTCATTTTCGCTTGTCCACTGGTAAGCCTCAGCAGAGCGGATGGGGTTCACCCCAAGCCAGGTGGCCTTCTTCGACCTGTGACCCCGCCTGATTTCTTTAAGAATCATGTGCTCGTATCCGACCCACATCATGGTGCGTTTCTCCTGATGTGGATCACCTTTTTAGCGAGGATTCTGATGTTGAGAGTGATTTAGTGGGATTGGGCGGGGTCGTCGAGCTCATGGAACTCTTCTGGTCAAACTCGCGGCAGTTGTGCTACTCGGACTGGTTATCCTACTTGTACCGATTACATTCCTGCAGTAGAGGGATTTTGTTGATGCATGTGATTTAATTCTGTGACCAGCGGGAGTAACGTCCAAAGCTCTTCAGCTACTTTCGGCTCCTCCAGTGAAGTATCATCGCAGACATCGAACGAGTCTTGACAACCACGGGTCCATCGCGTCTATCGAGTGGGACGTTCGTTGTACACTCTTCGATTTCTGTCTTCTTGGCAGACTCCATAATGTTTATCGATATATTTCTAGTATAATAAAAGGTATTCTTTCTTTCGAAAAAGAAGACAGGTCATGAACAACACTTTCCGAGCACAACAACAGAATAAATAATATAAAATAGTCGTTCCGGCTCACTGGCTGTCGAGGCAGCGAAGTTCCAAGTACTCCCCATCTCGGAGTCTTTCCATATTTCCCTTGATAAGGTGCACATCGGTAGAACCAGGTGATTCGTCGGTAAGTGGAAGGGTGTGTATCCCAATGCGACTTTCCTCCCCGGCTGAGGTGTTCGTTCTGCTATTTCTGGGGGGAATCGAACGTAGTGAACTGGACGTGCGAGAAACTTGAAGGGGAGCGCCGATTCGCATCTCTGCGTCGCTGCATTTTCTGAGCAACTCCTTCAAGCCTGTACGCTGACGTTTTTGAGATGCAAGAACCGCAGGGTCAGACGACCGCTTCGTCGGTTTGAGACCGGTTACGGATGCGGGGGGCGAGTTCGCAGCAGCGTCGTTTCTAGATAGATCATGGGAAGATCGGAAAGTAGCGTCCGAACCGATGGAAGTAGTAGACAAGGCACGTCGCGAGACGCCTTCCTTGGAGGGAGATGAGACATGGTCCTTCGAGGGTCGAGTTGACACGATCTCGTCAAGAGAAGTTTGACTTCCTCCACTGAGAATCTGGGACTGGGACTGAACTCGGGGTGAAACGCCGTTGGAAATAGGTTGAAGAGGGCCGAGAGAGGAAGGACTGCTAGGCCTCGTATTCGAATGAGCATCTATATCACATTGCGGGTTGTGAGACGGTTCCTTGGACGGGCTTTTTCTAGCACGCGCAAGTTCTTGAAGAATATCATCATCTGTGCCTGCGTCAGAGGCTAATAATGAAGCTTGATGAGGTAGCTTGTCTTTCTGGCCGGATGTAGAGCGAGGTTGGTTTTCCACGGACGTGCGTGAGTTATGTTCCTGCGATTCCCTCTCGCCCCTTGGCCGAGCAGGCGTACCAACCCCCGTCCCTTTCGGGGATTGAGCGGTGCGAAACTGTCGATTGCAGCCGGTTATGGACTCCTTCGACTGGATTGATCTGGCTTGCCATTGGGAGGGCTTTGCGGAGGATGCCCCGTGAGGCAAGGTGTTGTTTAGAGGTAAGTTGCTTGAACAATGGTTTGCTGGGCAAACGAGCGCGTTTTCAGACCGAGTTGACGGGCAGACCCCATGGGGTTGCAGCCGAGTCGTCTGCCACGAGGTGTCGTGGGAGACTCCTCCCGCAATGGGGTTGCTAAATCTCTCAGCGGCACTCCCTCCACCAAGGAAACACTCGAGCTGTTCCATGACACGCCATTTACGTCCCTCATGACTGGCTGATGACGTGCTAAGTGCACTCTTTTCCCAATGGGGAAATAATGAACCTAAATTGACGCCCTTGGGAAGCTCGACATTCTGAACCGAGGTGGGAGTGAACACCCCATCTAACTGCGGCGACCTGCCTCCTCTTGAAGCCCAAGCCTGGGAATCCAAATCATCCTGTATGAGACCATCCCCCCGGTCCTGCAGCATGTCGGTCCATGCAGAATACCCGTTAGCCTGCATATCTTCCTTGACCTTTTCTGCGGCCCCGGGGCTCATGCAATGGCCGAACGCCATCGGGATACATGCCCAATCAGCGCCATGATACTGTGGAAGAACAGTATTTGGAACAATTCGCTTCGGTCGGAAGAGTGAGACAAATCGCTGTAATTCCGGGAGGCCCGAATGCCGAGCGAGAGGCACGATCTGCCACAAAGCGGTCATCAACATGTAGCAGAAGTTTGAGATAAGTTTCACTGACTAGGCTACGAATCAACTCTCCGTTGATAAGTTTCTCCTTCGTGTCAGAGTACCAAGAGTGCCAAGTGCCAAGTGAGCACTCTACCGCATTCACATAGACTACGTCGGCATCATCTGAAGGCACATGGTCACAGCGATTGAAACGCTCGCATGCGTGGAAACGGGTCGACGAGGAATCAAGAGTTATGATGGCCCGAAGCATAGGGTCGGATTGAAGCAACGAGAATATCACTAGTTTGTATCTATCTACGTGAATCTGCACGAAAAACTCATCAATGCTCTTTCAAGACGGAATTGAGGAAGCTTTACCTTCGCACCAAAAGCTTTGGAAATTTCTTTCAATATATCTTCATACCCCCACGTCCAAGCGTTGATGAAGAATCGCGTCGTTCGAGGGTATTTGCTCATTAACTTGACAAGGCCAGAAGTGGCAGCCCTCTATATACGGAGATGCCATTACACGGCTACCCTCGGCCCACATTGTCAAAGAAATACCTTCGATGGTGCATCTATGGTGCTTAAAAGGCAGGCAGTGTCCAAGTAGATGGCTTCAAGAATGGGCTGCGGCGCTTTCGCCACAGACGGATCCGAAAGATGGCGGAAGTCCAAGCGCGAGTCTACCGCAAGGTACGGAGCAAGAAAAGGGTTTTTCTTGATTTCTTCCAGAAAACTCTGTTCAGCACGGAAGTCTCCAGTGTGAAGAATTGCACCTTTGGAGCCCTCAATAAGATACCTGTCCTCTTCTCAACCGATAGGTCGTTAGCAATCTAAGGAAGGGCTTACATGACGGCTCCAGGACAATGATTCGCATCGATAGCCGTGACAGTAACCTCTTCATCACCTTTGAGAAGAAAGCGTTCTGGCGAGTTAAGTGGTATCGGCCGCTAGAGTGAATAAGCTGAGCTGCATAAGGAGGAAGATGCATGAATATTCCATACCAGTAGGTCCCTCGATATCCCGCGTCCGTCGCGCCCATTCGTTTGCAAATGAGCCCACGGTCTCACCACATGCGGGGTGTGGCCACGATCATACGCGATCCGGTCGGGTCCTTTTTCAGCTCTTAACAGCATATTCTTCGAGTCAAGGGAGCATACAACGGGCTGTCCGAAGCTTGGGTTCTCCAAACCAGAGATATGGTCGGAATGCACATGTGTGAGCAAGTGGAGGTGAGTGACCTCGTTTTCCTCGCCATGTGGTGTCGCGAACGCGTCGACGCGTATATCAGTGTAGGGAGGCACCCTCCCATGATATGGCGCACCAGGGGGCATCCTTAGGCGGAACTTACACGATAACTCATCTCACAACGGCGAAAATCGTTCAAAGTGTCAAACAGATAACAACATAGAATTCTCACGTTAGGATACTTGTAGCCGAACTATGTAGTGCAACAAGTGCTCATTATATAACATTGTGACCAAATTGCCAATAATTCCTGAACCCAAGGGGCCAAGAAGAGATTACGATGCATAGCTACATATATAGACACACAAGGGACAAGACATGACAATTTTCTGACCATGAACCTAGGTCTTACCATTCATTCGCCTACAAGGGAAGATAAACCACAGAAAAGCAGAACCACCGGCGACCAAGACATCATCCAATGGACGTGAAATTTCAGAAGCGGTCACGCCTGTCACGTCGATCATCGTAGCTAAATGGCACGACAGTTCACAAGGAGCACAGAAGGGACAGAACAAGCAAAAACTGACCGTCTCTCTCTGCGATCATCAAACCTCCTCTCCTCCGGGCGGCGGTCATCATTTCGATCATACCTCTCGTATCTTCCACCGTACGCACGCCTGGCAATGATTGAGAACAGTGGGAAGGAAATGAATGTGTGACAGACCTGTCATCGCGCCGGTTGTCATGCCGAGCATAGCGGGAATCGTAGGGACGCGGATCATAGGGACGCTCGTCTAGAGGTGCATCAGTAATGTGAAGACATCGCTTAATTACAACACCTACATTCAGCCCTCTTGGGAGGACCAAAATACTTTCCAGGAGTAGGTGTGCGAGCTCTACCACGGCGAGCCTGGTGGAACAGTCAAGCATGCAGGATCGACATCAAGAACGAAACAAACCTTCTCCACACGAATAGTTTTTCCAAACAGCTCTGTGTTACTCAGAGCCGCCGATGCCGCATCCGCGCCTTCTACAGACTCCATGGTGACAAACCCAAAACCACGGCTTTCGCGGGTATGGGGGTCGTGCATAATTGCAGCTCTCTCCACCTGCGTGAATGTTAATAGCAATTGACACAATAGACAGACACACGTCAACCTTTCCGTATTTGCTGAAGATTGCCTCGAGCTCGCGATTGTCAACCTTCGAGTCGAGCCCAGAGACATGAAGATTGTTGCCAGGATTGCTGGAACCATCCATCCTTCACAAGTCAGTGGCAGTGCGTACACACGGATGCTCCAGACTTGCCTTCCACGGTCCACGCGAACAGGGCTGCGACTGCGGCTTCGCTGCCCCCCACGAATGCCATTCTTCATATCTTTATCCCCTCCATTAGGGGATGGTGATGGACTGCGCGCAGCATTACCCCATCCTTCATCTGTTTGTTGAGGCTCTACCGTAGTCGTATTTTGTTGCCAGGCTGGAAGGAGGTGTTAGGTGTTGGACGAGACGCAGATGACGAGGCGCACAGCGCCAAAAGGAGAGGTGATGATGGGCGAAAAAATCAGAGCACACTGTCGTACGGTGCTGCAATGGCACTGTTGGGGTGAAAAACGTGCAAAGAGTTGGAGGCCGTGAGCCGCAGATGAGGTTTGTCAGCAGATGCTGGAAACGTCGTCTGCCGGGAATGACAAGGTGCAGGCGGTGGTACCAAAAGTAGAGACGTGTTGAAGCCATAGTTCATGCTGTCGGCGAACGTACCGTCGCTCATCTTGAGGTCAATACGGTCGATGCTGAAGGTTGCAGAAATTCGTCGTCAACTTTTTTTCGATGTCGGGGAATTCCGGTCAGGAAATTGCCGGGGAGTTGTTCTCAAGGTCCCAAAATCCACACACATCTCAGTCCTCCATGTCACGCAGGGTATTAGCTGTGGTGCTGCCGTCTTCAAAGGCATTTCGGGCTGCTGCACGTCCCACCTTTACGGGCTCTCGTGCATTTTCCACCAGGTCGCAGGTCCGTTCATCTGGCCAGCATGATGTCGAGACATTCGAGTCTTTCACCGAGCGCTATACCAACTTTTTCCAATCGGCTGAAGACCTCTTCGAGCTTCAGCGTGGGTTAAATAATTGCTTTGCTTATGATCTTGTCCCTGCGCCAAGCGTCATCGAAGCTGCTCTCCGTGCGGCCAGGCGTGTGGATGACTATTCGACGGCCGTCAGGATATTCGAAGGAATCAAAGAGAAGGTTGAGAACAAGAGCCAATACGAGGCTTATCTCAACGAACTCGGTGGTGTCAAGGAGGAGCTGGGTGCGTCTTTTTTTGTCCAATTCTGTTGCATTTATTCTCACGCACGGGGGTGTACCCAGGCATTGACACAAAAGAGGAGCTCTATGGGTTGTAACGTGCGTCGGGAGGATAGCTAGGTTCGGCCCCTTGTCGTCGTAAAAAGACGTATACTTACCGTTTCTCCTAGAAAAAAATGTACTATTCTCTGAATTACCCAATGGACAATCTTTGGCATACTTGTTCATATAATACCTCACCAGTCTGCTGGCTCATCGCTTATCAATGACTTGTTCCCCGTTCTGGGCTGTTCCGCCTTTTGCTGAGGCCTTTGTTGCAGAGGATCGCTTCAGCCGCTTTGTTTCCATTAGAAGCCCTGTCACTCCGGAGCTGGCGATCAGTAACTTTGCAGAGAACCCGGTTGTATTTTTCTTTGAAGATCCTCAAGTCTTCGCGAAGCTACAGCGAAACTACCTTTACGCATTAAAATTTACATAAGGTTTCCGATTGCCAACCGCTCCCCCACACAATTTTACTTAGGTTTAAAGTTACATGACATCCACTTGAGATTTCACGGCCCCACTGTCCCGGTGGGTGAATCTGTCTCTCTGCTGGCGGTTCTCACGCCCTGAACGAAGCATTCGGACCGCATGATCCCGCTCGCTCACTTGACAAGCATCCTACATAACTGATTTGTGCCGAAGTAGTACCAGATGAACTGAGCTGACACCGCAGGGAGCAGGCGAGAGAAGCCACGAGTCGGCCTAGCTTGTCAATGTATTCCAGGGTATGACCTTCGTGTGCAAGAGCCGAATTTGACAGAGTTCTGCGGCTCCATGGCTCCGCTGTCACTTTTCTCGGTCTTTGGGATTCGAAGCAGATGAGCTTCGATTTACAGTTGCCGAAATTGCCTCTCACCCTTCCATCATATCGCCGGAACCATACGCCACCGAAAACAGCAAGATCTTGGTATTTCGATGTGGGGTCCCTTACTGTAATAGGCATTCAACTCCGTCATCAAGAACATATGTCGATCATACGCCCACCTGCCTGCTTTTCTCCTGAGGGTGGTCTGACAAATTTTCCGCTGTCGGAATGATCTCCAGAGAAGTGTCTACATGACCTATTCAAACACATTAGCCATAAATATGAGCAAGTTTTCGGGAGTACTCCCCTCCAGCTCACTGTGAACGCAGTCTGCAACACTCCATCGAACGCTGCGTCAACATTTGACGAAGATGGTTAAGATTTTTTGTCTGGTGCTTCCATTTGTCGCTCTTGCGGCTTCGGCTTCGGCGTCGGCGTTGCCCAATACATTGAACTCGGTTTCCGTAAGTAGCTGTCCTCCATTTTGCGAATCAGGACAACTTTTTCATGGCTTCTGGTAGTTGATCAAGGAAAGGGTAAATGCTTGTACTTTTACCTGTGGCTTGGCTCTATAGTCTAATCCCCATCGAACTTAGGACACGAAGGGTATTTGTATGGGCAATGTAGAAGGTATTGCACTTGGGGGGTGCTTGGGGAATCTTGAGAGTCTTGACGGAACCTGCTTTGCCAAATTCCTCGCCGTGAAGCTTTTGTGCCATGGGAATGGGCATGACCTTGATGGGTCTTGTGCGGCTGCAATTGAAGCAATAAATGTCTGGTGTGGAGGCTGCGTCAAGCCTTTCACGCCCCCTACGATTATTTGCAGTGAGACGCTTCCGCCCATTACTACTTAAATGCCTGTACCACAAGTCTTGCATGCTGCCCATGTCGATCCCCAAAGATATCCAGCATCGACATATCATTAATGTATACTCAGTGACCAGCTCGTTATAGTCGTTAGCAGAAAGTTCACAATTAGGCCATACCAACGGCAACAGGGACGCGTAAAAAGCTATGTTACATGGGTGGAAGTTCTACAATGAGGATTAGGAGGTTGTATGCATCAATCAGATTCACTATCATCGTAGCTACACAAACGCATCAGTTTATATGGATCTCACTGCTTGTCCTAAACTCACACTTCATCGTCATCGTCATCGTCATCGTCATCGTGGGCAACATAACCCGTGGGACTATTTGGTTCGTAAGGGTGGTGGTATTGATCATTGTCGGCAATAAGTCCGTCTCTGCAAGCCGTAAGGAAGTGCTATAAGCAGGGGCGATGCGGGGGCACTGAAGCAGAAGCAACTCACCCATCCTCTGATTCGGAATAGAAGATTGGAGCTCCAGTGTCCTCGTCAGACGACTCGTACTGAATCGCTGGATCATTCGAATCAGACATTGCATCATCTCCTGCTCTGTGAGGCCTTCGAGCTCGCGAGGGGCCAGGAAGGAAATCATCTTCCCCATACATTTCTCTAGAGGAAAGTGGATGAGAATGAAAGCCGGAATGCCAACAAAATAAACTTACATATCCCGTTCGTGAGTATCACTGCTTTCACTATCTCGAGGGGACCTGAAGCAACTATCAGTGACAAAGGCAAATGATTGACGCAAATAGCTAACGATCCAAGGCTCCGCCTGTCGCGCTGGTATGACCCCCGCCCCGAAACGCTAGCGCCCCGAAATCTCCAACTGTTACAGTGTTCGGAATCGGACAGATGATCTCTTTGGTCTTCTGAATCTTCGCCACTGCCAACCGTCACATTCACGCGTGTTCGACGACGGCCCCTTAAAGAACCAGGGATTTGCACCGAGATGTCGTCACTACCATCGGTGTCAGAAGATACAGAACATGCAGGTTGCCGACGCCTGTTAGGCACGTATGGTGGATCATCATCATCGTCCTCGTCCTCACTAGTAACTTCCACACGATAACGATGCCGCCTGCTGTGCGTCTGATTGTTGTCCAGCTCGTGACCGCTTTCCTCGCGGACGGCCAAGCTTGGTGCATCGTGAAATTCTTCGTCAGCCTCACTATCATCCGTGTAATTACGCATAACAGGATGGGTGTCTTCTTGATCCCCGTCATCTATGAATGACGGCTCGTATTCATCGATATCCGTTGCGACGTCAAAGAATGAATTGAAGAACAGTTCCTCGCCTTCATCATCACTGGGAAGTTGATCAACGCCCAGATATAACCGTCCACAACCTGTACACATGCCGTCGAAAATTTCATGCATGCAGTCCCGACATCTAGGGACACCTCCATCCTCGTCATCATACATAACGTCGGGATGCTCAGCCCGTTCGCGCTCAGAAGATGGAGCGAGAGGGGGAAATATTCCTTCCCAAACATCCTTGACTTCCAGTGTACCAAACTGGTCACGCTGGGAAGCGTCCTCTTCGGGGTGAGTGTAGGAGGATGGGTCAAGCGAAGGAATAATGGTTGATACCGCGGACTTGATGAGATACACAGATACTGGGCGGGTTTTGACTTCGGTTCGACAGTAGGGGCACGTTTTCTTTCGCAGATGCGGGACAATCGGCTCCTCGGAATCACAATTGGTAGTAAACCAGCCCTTCAAGCATCCTTCACAAAGAACATGTCCGCAGGGTGTAACTCTGAATGGCGTGAGTTCGAGGATCTCGATCCCATGTACATAAAATGGGGAACGCACAAATACGGCTTCCAGAGCATCTCCAGGCATATTTGGCATTGGAGGGCATTTTGAAGAGATGACAAAACATTTTCATGCTTGTTAAGAAGCTAATACAATGCTCATCATAAGGGAGCCAAGTGCCATTTTACACTGATGAGCTTACTTCATTCTTCAGTGCTAATTCCTTTTGAAGTCGTTGTATCTCAGCATCTTTGTCCACAAACTTTGAATCATGTTCCACGCCCTCAGAGGATAGGGTAAATGAGTCTGTGGATGCCAAAACCGCTGGTGGTGGGCCGGTGCTGGTCCCAACGTGGCCACCTCGCGCTTTCCCTTTACTTCGCTTCCGCTTTTTCGATTGCTTTGTAACCTCGGAGTTGGTAGTTTCTCTCTCCTTCCCCTTGTGGCTAGGCTTTACTATAGGCGAGATCGTGATAAGGGGTTCTTCTACCCCCGACCACTTGCGTTTACGAGAAACAGGCGTCTCTTCCTGAGCATCTGACGACCGGGAAGCATTGAGGTTTTGATGTTTCTTTTTCTTTCTGAGCACACGGTTCTGAAGTATTGGTGAGTCCGATTTCGGCATTCCCGCTACAATGAACAGGCGGAGTTCGAACAAGCGCTAGTCAGGCGGCGCTTGCCGCACGAATTACTCACAGCAGGATTTTTCCACAAGCAGGTGCCCAACCGCCGCGCCGACTACACTTTCAACCGAAATATCATATCCCTGCTGTGAGGTGCAAATGCAACTGAAGGATTCACCGGCTGCATGCGTACCAACTGATCTCCAACAAACTGCTGTAAACGTCGACATACAGCAGTTTGAAAGCAAGCTGGCTTGGCCCCACAACAGACGTACTGTGTGGCTTCTAAACCTGGGCCTTGTTGTGCATCAATAGGGGACAGATTTTTACTCCCTTCTGCCTGGCTTCAATCGATGTTGCTTGTCTTTCTGTGGCCTTCGTCCTTGATTGCATGACCCACCACTGTTTTATACCAAATTAGGGCCTTCCTAGCTACACCTGGAATCCGATCTCTGACACATTGCAAATAATGCAATAAATCGGCATCCCGACACAGGATGCGGGTTATAGAGCAGGGGGTAGCGTGAACAACCTAACCATTCGAGTTCACATCATGAGGTGCCTTCGCGTCCGCTGAAAATACATAGTCATTGGCATAGCAGGGACCGTTGGAAACAGTTCTACTCGGTTTTGGGGTTCTCTCGGTCGAAGTCATGGACCTCTCCCTCCCCTTTGTGCCTGACCTTCAGCATTACCGCGACCTCAATCCAAGTTTTTCCCTACTCGAACATTGCACGGACGAGCTTCCGGCTCATGACCCTAGTATGATGAGGTTTAAGGATGCTTCTCGGCTAGATGTCCTTGCGTTGAGACGACTCGAATCTCTTAAAGTTGAAGCGTTGTGTAAGACCCAGGGGAAAGTCACTATATCGACCCTTCTTCACACTCGCCGTTTCGCAGCATACACGCCTCTCCCAAGGTGTTGTCCCAAAAATTTGATCCCCTTGAACCAATCAGTGAGCCTGCGAAAATGGCAAACGTGTTGTCCATTTTATCCCTATCGATGTTGGAACATTATCGGTAGTAAGTCCCCACTCAACAAACATTCCTGGCTACTCGCTTCACAGTCTCACATTGCTGCTTTGGTACTCTGGTGTAAACCCATTGGCGACCATACACCAACCTAATTGCCTGATTTCACTCGAAAACAGCCGATGCGCAGGATCATCGATTCTTGAAAAACTCTTTTTCGAATCCCGTGATGGAAGGTGGATAGATCTCGTCGAATTGGTTGAGGCGTGGGTTTAGATCTAGCGAAGGCACATTCGTTAGTATTGCTGAATGAGGGTGCAGATGAGAGGACAAGAAGCGGATAATCGGGGAATAGTAGCTGACCTGCTTCGTCAGCGGCGTTCACATCTGTAACAACGCGGAACCAAGGGCCGTTCAAACGTGTCTCTCAAGAAATTTATGATTTCGTCCTTGTCCTATATGTCGTTAGATTATCAACGACTCTATCGAGAACCTGGCCCACAGCCCACTCCAACCAAGGTTCAGTGGCGACTTTGTAATGAGCGTCGAAGTTCCCCCTTAAAGGACAAAGACTTCAATCATCAGCGCCAGGACCATCATTGAAGAATGAAAACGAAACTCGTGAGCTGCGGGTGAGATATATTGACATTGAATCTTTAGGAGAGAAAAGCTCTGGGCTAGGGGACTAGGAAAGAATTTGATGTTTCCAACGTTTTCGTACCCAAGTATAGGCTTGAAAACCTTAATTAAAACGTCTGGATCGACGGGTTTGTCTTCGGGCGCCATGTAGGGGAATGAGGCACTATAGAACATGAATATGGTATTCAATCAGTATCGATCGCACCATCCACAGCAACCAATAGGGGCGGAGGAAAGACGTACAGGACTAGTCCAAGCGCTGTAGCCACAGAACCTCGCCGCGAGGGGAGACCCTACATAACGTCCCGAATCAGAAAAATCGGCTTGAACAGTCCCTTGAATGCCGTTCCTGTTCTATGTCCACTCACCATAGTCATGACCCACAGTTACCACCTTTTGAATTCCTTCTTTTCTAACATCGAAACCAACTCGATTAGCTGTTTCTTATGTTCCTGTTCCTTCAAGTCCTCCGGATTACCTGCTTGACCATATCCCTTCAGTTCGGGCAAGATGACACCGTACCCTTAGGAAGTGAGTAGCGGAACAAAACTGTGGTAGGAGAGTGCGCCTAGTTATAGGTGTAGGGGCAGCGAAAGTTAATCCCAACGTATGGAAGATGAGGAAAGAAGGGCACGGGACGGCCGAAAGTGAGGCACGAACCAGTTGGAAACTCATGGCAGAGAGAAAGATTTGTTGAACGCTGACTCGGATCGAACAGAGAGATAATGGCATTCGACGCCGTTGAATATGTTCCAGGCTGAGTCCAAAATTGGTGGTCCATCGTTATTTTGGCGACCACTGGGGTTGACCGGTTCGTATTTAGTGGTTTCTTCTGTTGTGATGAGGAGAACAGCCAACTCTGAGACGAAGCCAATACTTAGGCTCTTTCCCCCTTAAAATCTGAGTAGACTCAGCGCGTAGGTGTATGTACTAGTACGTAGACATGCGCTAAATCATGCGCTGTGTAAGTACGCACGATTGGAAAGTGGTGGAAGGTATGTTCTAGCCTTTGTTTACAGTATATTTATGTGAAGAAGCGGAAAGGGGGCTGATATAGGGCAATGCGAAGCACAGATGGTTTTTGGTCTGAGGGTTAACGACGGTGGTGAGCGATAAATGGGAAGCTTATATGTACCCAGGACTTCACACACGCAGCTACTGTTATAGTCCGCGAGAGATAGAAAGATTAGCTGACTGAAGTCAGCGCCCAATCCGGTCAACGGAAGTTGCACCACCCCAGCACTTATTTACCGACGCATCGACAGCAAATTTTAAGCCATTCAACCATGTAGTACAGTAGCAGACTCGTACCCAGTCGGAGGAGCTCCGTGGACGCGCAAAATAATAGCTCTTTAGGCAATGTTCTCACGTTCTGTATTCAATACAAAAGATCACATGGTACGGAGTTAAACACATAGCCGATCACCTACTCCGGAAATGTGGACGCGACACTTCGCTCCTCCGACTGGGGCAAAATGTACTATGGCTGTGCTCCGGCACTGTCCGGCCTCTGTCTTCCCACGGGAAACAAGCTCGCTTCAAGGCTCTAATCATCACACCCCTCCCCAAGCCATCACAGAAAAAATCCAAAACAAATGTAGTAGTTACCCCCACCCAAAATTAACCCAGCCCAACCCAGCCCAACCCGATTCATCCGCTTCTTGCTCATATGTGCTAAAATTATGTTGGAATCTTGTATCGCGCGCTCAAAATAATATTATTTTTCACCTCATCGGCCAATTTCTTGGGGTGAGGATACTGTAGTGATCAACACCAGAGCAGGATTGGACTATGATTAGGTAGTTCTACCATGTTTTCCCTTTGACTGGGCTCAATAATGATAAAGTGCTGAGTGCGCGATACAAGATTCCAACATAATTTTAGCACATATGAGCAAGAAGCGGATGAATCGGGTTGGGCTGGGTTGGGCTGGGTTAATTTTGGGTGGGGGTAACTACTACATTTGTTTTGGATTTTTTCTGTGATGGCTTGGGGAGGGGTGTGATGATTAGAGCCTTGAAGCGAGCTTGTTTCCCGTGGGAAGACAGAGGCCGGACAGTGCCGGAGCACAGCCATAGTACATTTTGCCCCAGTCGGAGGAGCGAAGTGTCGCGTCCACATTTCCGGAGTAGGTGATCGGCTATGTGTTTAACTCCGTACCATGTGATCTTTTGTATTGAATACAGAACGTGAGAACATTGCCTAAAGAGCTATTATTTTGCGCGTCCACGGAGCTCCTCCGACTGGGTACGAGTCTGGTACAGTAGGGACCGTATGAAACGAAGAACAAGGCTGCTTTTCTCCACGAGCGGAAATAAGTGCCCAAATACTGACAGGCTGTCGCGTGCGCGCAAGTTGAGAGTGGCTGAATTGAAGAAGATACCGAAAGTAAGCTTCTTTTTTCCACTCCACGGAGTCTTCGCTTCGGGTCTCAAACAGAACCAGCTCCACAGACGCACGCGGTTATCTATCGGGGCGGTCACCCACCGTTGAAATACTGTGCTCGAAAGTTTTTTGCCAAGATGCCATCCGCCCCTCCATGGGCCGACCCTCGCTACAGGTTCCGTTACTTCGACCATGCATCCCGAGCCCCCTCCCCGAGACGCATCGCCAAGCCATGTGCTCTAGCTAAGGATGTCACTGCAGAGAAACTCCCTGGAAAAAGTTGACACATCCTTCGCCCTATCGCCTTCCGTCGCCGCATTGGAATACCATTCGGAAACGCAGTTAATGCGCGACGGAAGTCTCAGGGAATATACTATCCACGTACGTAGCCCTCATATGGTGAGGGTTCAGGGTCGCGCGAATGAGAAGAGCCAAAATCACGCACGTCCGCAAGCAATTGGAAGTCATCGCTAGGTATACCGCAAGTGGCAGCAAGGGATATATCGATACGCGTAACACACCGATGGCAAGAATTTAGGCAGATCTGCATCTGATTTAACACGAGATGATATGTGCGGCTATTCCTACACCTCTTCTTGGGCCAAATTTGAACGCAACGAGAATCCCCTTCCTTGGTCGTGGAGGAAGAGGTCCCAGGAGAAACGATCTATGCATACTTCAGTATATCCCCAGGGCCAGGTCCGACAGGATCATCGGAACCAGCGAGGTTGCACTGGTGGAACTTCCTGACTTGGTCATCGCGGAACGCGCCAACGACGGTGTGAATCAGTCCACGATTATGGAACAATACAAGGTCGTTCTCCTCCCTTGGTGTCAAAGTCGTACGTGCAGTGAATATTCTAATTGATACTCAATAGTACTTACCAATCATGGGGATAAACGAATTGAGGTGAGATGGTGGGGCGTTGGATTCGATAGACGAGGTCTCGTACTTCCTTCAGATCCTTCAAATGTGCACCCTCTGGATACAGCACGCTAGAACCCGCAGAGGCTTGCTTCGCTGCGGGAATAGGGTCGATAATGAGCTCCTGGATAGCACTAGGATGAACCTGGACATGAAGATCGCTAGTCCGTGGATTCTTCCAAACCTGAAAGGGGCCATGTCTGTCCAATGATATCTATAGGAGTACAGTGCGCATACCACAGGGAAAGTCTTGACTTTGCTCTCTTCCCATTTTGGTAACTCGCTAAGCGGAAGCTCAAGCCCCTCAGTTTCGATTCCCAAGCCGGTAGAACGACTGTGTGCAGGCGCCATCCAGACGTATGGATGCGGGGCATAACGCACTTTGGTTCGAACAGCGAGAGACTTTTCCTCGGGTGAGAGAAGATTGAACGTGGTCCGAGTCGAAATGACTGCATTCATGGGTCTTAGGCCTTATTCAGGAAGATAACACTTACAGGCCGTCGTTCCGAGAGGAACGTCCAATTCATCTCCGGTTCCATCGTCATAGCGGACAGTCTGACGCGGGCCTTTTGGTACAGTGAGGCCGTAAAGCGTCGTCACCCGGGGACTAAAACAGAATACAGATAAGTCAAGCTTCTCTCGGAGAACGTTAGGACTCACGGAGAGAGATCGTAAAGGGCTGCATCGATGTGCCTGCAAAATGACAATGACGTCATGCCCTTCGCTTCAGATACTCAGGCTTGCCCCCCAACCCACCAGCGATAGAAACGAGTGAATTTGAGGTCATCTTCTTCAGGTATGCGGGTTTTATGGAACGTTTTATGATGAGGATGCTTAAGTTTCGCCTAACGATGTCAACGCAATTTATATCAGCAGTTGCGACTCGGTCGGGAAGTATTCCCTGCTCGTACCTCGGCGAGCCCCTCGTGGTTGTATACAGTCCCATTCCCAATGAGCTGCACTTGGGGAATACGAGGGATTGTCTTCAGGTCAGGATGCAATATCGATCTCATGTTATTTCCTGTCTTGTTGTTCCCATGTCCATAACTCTCGCACGTTGGATCGAAGGCCTGTGGAGAGTTGTACATTCGAGGCAGTCGGGATGCTCGTCGTCGATACATCAAGCATACCTTCGTTAGAGCATACTGCTGTTCGGGAGTAAGTCTGGCATTTTTGAAGAGAAGAACGGAATGCTACGAATAAATTCACAATGACCATGTCAGAGAGGGGGATGGGAACAGGGTCCTGCAATGGATGTTACCTTGTATAGAAGCTCTTCAATTTCCTTGAACGTTTCTGTGTCTATGTTACCAGGATCAACACCGCGAACTTCGCGGCCGAACTCCGAGAAGTAAGCGGGGTTGGCTGAAGCAGGCAAAGGCAACGGTACGAGTTCGATCGCCATTTGTGTCGGATCAACAGATGCTAACTGGAGCTGGGTTTACAAACCACCCCGCTACGCATCAACTTGGCTGCAAGTGGACAGGGGCTGCCAGTGCAATTCACAGCAGTCTTATTTAATGGAACAGCACTTGCGGGAATCACCGGGCTCACAACGCCAGGATAGTCAGTCTGTCGCCCCACTATCGGATAGCACATTGGTGCCTTACGGGACTGGATCCGCTCGGTCTCATTCTCATTTGATATATCTAGGTGGTACGGATCTAGCAAGCAGCGAATGCTAGTGGGGAAGAATTCAAGGTCCTCCAAAGGCACGCCGATGGGTCCCCGGTTTCATTCTCGTCCGATAGAGCTTCAGTATCCAATAATACGACAGTATGAATCTGGGATGCAGCGCCCGGGGAAGCACTCAAGGGCACGCCAGTTTGGTCCTCTCAGTCCCCCCCATCATATTCGATGAATCCGGGATTGCCGTACCATCTTGTGACACAACAGTGGACATATGGGACGGGGAAGAACTCAAGGGCCTCCGAGGGTGTACCAGCTTATTTCACTTGGTCTCATTCTCACCTGGTGAATCCACACTAGTTTTAGCACACAATGATGAGACAGTACCAACCTGAGATGCGGTTAACTGGGGAAGAATTCAAGGTCCGCTCGATCTCAGGTTCCATCAGCAACAAGCCCACCCAGGACTCATCTTCCAACCCGATTACCGTTCCTATTGAGCGCTCGTTTGCCGAAGTCAAGCATGACAGGACAAACCACGTCCCCCTTCATGCGGTACCCCTCATTTTATTACTCCCACTCATGTGGGCGACCATTTGGGAAATGATGGGCAAGCCCTTACTCAGTTACCGTCCATTTGGAAGGTGGGCATGTCCACATTATCAGGACATCCGGGTGCCGAAGAAGAGCTATTGTTGTGTTTAACATACAACAACGGTTAAATAATTAGGATACAGTGAGTGGATTGCCCTTGCGATCGGTAATTTTTTCCTTCCACTTCAATGACTAAACTATTTCGCGTTGCCCCCCCTACCCTGATCTCCCCCTCAAGCATTCCCCTGCTGAATCGAACCAAACGCACGCAAAAGCGGAGGCATAAACTGGACGTATATAATAGCATAGGATTCCTTCGTCGATCACCCGATACTGAAGCAAGATGGCACTGGCATGGCTAGTCCTCTTTCCTTCGAAACCCATCAAGTCAGAGCGAGAGCAAAGCCAGATCCACCCCTTACATTTTAATTTTCCTTTCATGCCATGGCGAGATTTACGGGGAAACAAGCTGCTTCTTGGAAACGATTTGTACATATGCCTTCCTCGCCTTCTTTTTTTTTTTTTTCCCTTGCAATCTCTAATATTCTGTCAATAGAAGTGCATGAAATACAATATTGATGTTTTTGGAAAACGGAAACGTCATGCATGTCAATACGGCTGAGGCGGAACGATGGCTGACAGGATTAATCCAATCGCGTGCCCGACAGCAGCTGTTTAGAAGAAAAACAAACAAACAAACCAAAACAAAGTATTTCCATCGCTACACTGCAACATAACAAGGTAAGGGAGGAGGGGACGGGGGGGATTCGCCGCTTTTGTGAATAAAACATCATTCATCAATCCAAATTGACCGTCTTGATGAGCTCCACGGCTTTAGCAGACCGAGGTGTAAACGTAGCTCCATACTCCGTAGGGTGCCTAAATATTATCAGTTTGTTTTGTTTCTCGGCATTATAAACCCAAGAGGGGGCACGGTTGCGGAACAACTTACATCACCAATCCAGTCGTCCACCCAATCTGTGGCTCGATATCCTTCTCTTTCTCATCCTTCGCCTTCCCAATACTAAAGCAATGCAACGTACACGCGATGCTCATAAACACCGTCGCACTCGCTACATCCTTCCCAGGACAGCTTCTTCTCCCAAACCCAAACGCGTAACTATGTGGGTCCGTAGGAGGGTTCTCCACTAGGAATCGTTCAGGTTTGAACGTAAAGGGATCTTCATATTCCTTTGGATCCCTCATGATTGCCCAAATGTTAGAGATGACAGTTGCTCCACCTGGAATGAGCATCCCGTCGTAAATATCATCTTGGATGAGGGCATGTGGAACGCCAAGAGGGGTAGCAGTGTTCCATCGGAGTGTTTCCTTGAGTATGGCATCGATGTATGGAAGGGAAGGACGATCGTCCCATGTGGGTAGGCGTTCTGAACCTACAATGGAATTAAGCTCAGCCTGGGCTTTGAGTTGAATCTCTGGATGGATCGTCATGGCAAGGATAAAGGAAGCGATCGTAGCTGCCGTCGTGTCCGAGCCCGCTAGGAAAGGGGAAAAACGTGAACAAGGGAAAGAAGGATTTGGTGTGATAGGAGAAAGTTGATCCACAACGAACCTCCATAGAGAATAGCAGCAGTACTTTTGATCAGATTTTCTTCCGCCTGCGCAGTAAGACCAGTAATCGTCCCTCTAGCCTCAAGAAGGGTGGAAGTGAACGAAGGTTCAGCGGTACCCTCGGCCTATCCCGGAAGTTGGTGCGTTTCCCGAAAATCAATTCCCAGAAATCGGCGCGGTAACGTCAGCAATGGGCAACATACCATCTTCCGTTTCACAAACCCGAACAACTCCTCACGTATTCTCACGCTCAGTGATCGACCCGCGAGAATGAATTGGCGGGTTTCGGCCTTCCAAAATGTGAGCCTGCGATCGGCGTTTTTCGTTTTGGTGGTGCAGAATGATCCGAAGAAGTGTATTTGAATTGAAGTATATATTTCGGAAATTCTAGATCAGATGGGTGGTCGTAACACAGCAGGGATTTACCTACGGGACCCTCTTCACTGTGTAAACCAAAATTATATGGCAAAAATGGTCAGCTGGGGGAAAGAGGGGAAAGAGGAAAGGGAAGAACTCACGAATAGGCAAGTAATCCACAAAATAACCCCCTCCCACCGCACGCCCGAACGAATCAGTGGCAGCTTCCACAAGGGGAAGGACCGGGTCTTCCTCCTTCAACTCATACCCATACGCCACCTTTAAGATGATACCACTGCTCGTCCTTTTAACATGCTCTCTAAACTGCTCTGGTTTTTCAAGCAACCGGGCAAGATATTTATGAACGGCATCTTCCTGAATGGGCCAGTACGTCTTGGCCGTACGCGAGTTGAGCGCCGAGTTGAGAAGCTTGCGCGCACGGCGGAAAGTGTCCCCGTAGGGCGCGAGAAGTGTGCTTGAGGAATAGCCCATGACATCGGCCATATGGGAGTGAGGGCGGGAGGAATATATGGCGGATCGTTTATCGAGGAGGTCGATAGCTGCTTTGGCACTGTTTAAGACGATGATGGGCCGCGAGAACGCGGTGAGGTATACAACATTTCCTATTAGGTTTGTGAAAGGGACGGATTAATGGCCGGCGCGTTTCATTCGCCCGATACGAATCAAGGGAAACGTTGACGTTGTTAGAAGATGCGAAATCGGAAATATAGTGAGAGTCGCACCCACCATACTCTTTACCCCACTCTGCAAACTTGAGCTCTTTATGAGAGGAAGGAATGTCCTTCGCGTTACCAAGAAAGAGCTTTGGCTTTGGCCCAGGAGGTAAGGGTTTGGACCGCTTTGGTTTGTTGCGGAAGACATAGAGGGCTACCAGAAACGGCGCAATGATGCAAACAAGGAGCAAGTTCGCCATTGGTAGGATAGATAAGTTTAGGGTTTATTCGATGGCGCGACGGAAATAAAACGAAGGTAGAGAGAGCACCATAGAGCCTCTTTGACAGCGCTTTTTATGAGGGGATGCCCAGCTTGTGCATGGCACGATAGCTCTGTACAGCCACTCATCAGGGATCGCACACAGGTCAAACGTCCGGTTAAGGCGGACAATCGACTCTGCTGACAAATGGCTCAAAATACCGCAACTGAAGCGAAATCGTCTTCCTCGAAGGCGCACGTTATTTACCTGTAGCCGATAAGGTGTTACTATGAGTGGCCAACGCTGGTTAGATGAGGACGTTTCCTGCAAGCCTCTCACATTGCACTGACGAAGTGATGAGCCCTCGCACCGGTTCAGGTTGAACCCGTCTTGTCGTTTGACCGTGAGAAAAGCTGCAATATCATTCTGCGACAATTGAATGCTGGGATCTCCAACCCCTGACAACCCAACTATAACATGCCAGTACTGTTATAGGTAACGATAAGCGGACAACTTTGATGGGGCTATTGCGTGGAAGCGGGGTGGGAGTCCGGAACGCAGTGCGATGCTCGGAACTTCGAACTCAAGTCCCGAGTCGTTCAATCTGATTCGTCTCTTTCGCTCGTCGTATCACGGCCGGATCTTCGCTCTGTGTTTGCACAGGTACTCTTTCTCTAGGCAGGGGCCAGTCTCTACTTTTTCTCCGACCAACTTCGGGACCGCCTGATAAATATATCTTGGCTTCGCACTGATCCGGTCTTAGGGCGCGCCTCCCGAGCAGCCAATATATTCCCACTTGTATATATGGGCATGACCCAAAGTCATCGTTGTCACTCCGCCAAAGGTAAAAACATGGATCCGAGAAGGTGAACCACGGAAGGGGGAGTGAGGATAAGGAAAGAGAATCTGACAATGCATTTGAATGCACGGTGAGGGATATTTGAAGCAAATGGCTTCATCGTCAATCATTCTGGAACATGAGTTCATGAGTATTTATAACGTCGCGGAGATTGGAAAAGCCAAGGCGGTGAGTGACCACGTACTGTTGCCATGTGGATACACATCACCGAGTGCTGATTGCCGGTACATGCTTGGTCATACCTAAGTGCTGAGACTGATCGAGCCTAGACATGTAGCGAGTGTATATTGCAAGACTCGAGTTGTGGAAGTCATACATATAGAGCGAAGATGACACTATACTAGTACTCACCATGACTTGATTTTGGGAGAAGATACTTAGTCCGCAAAAGCCGGATGTTGGGTATTTAGACAGGCGACAACCAAATCGATTTGAAATGCACAACAAGATGGTTGCTCAAGAGTGAAACGACCATCTCAAAGATAGCAAGTCCTACTACTCTGCATCGGGTCTTGTAAATGTAAATTTTTCGGTCCCGAATTGAATGTGTTTGAAGGTCCTCTATTATTGCCAATTCCTGAAAAACCCAGGGTCCTCAAATTCCTCACTTATACAGTGTATATGACCCACTTTTCAGCCCCTTCTCGCGCAACTCATTGACTTCGCAATGTCTGGTGGTCTTCCACTGCGTTTCAGACACCTTCTAAATCCAAACGATCTTCACCGTGTGGCAGTTTGAAGTGAACAATAGATCATCGGGACTGTCCTGACTGCTATTTGGGCTTGGGCTTCATATCCCCACTCTACATCTCACGCTTCCTTCCGTTTCCGTTCGTCTTCTGTTGTTCATGCTTGTCCCTGTCGTCATATACGCTCTATATGCGTGAGTGGCGGGCTCTGCTGCATCGGGCGGCGAGGCATCCACTTCTGACTTCATGCTGGCACGTTTCGGACTTGAGCTGAATATATTATATTCCGCGTGGAGATACTTAGCATCCAATCGTACCGTTGGTGCCAAAGCAATACGTAGAGCGTACGTGGTGCAATACACGTGTACGGAAGTGGTATCTTCGCACACCAACATGCGGGCGCCGACGGTGCCGACGTTATGTTTTATCATGCCCCGAATTCTGATTACAAAACTGCGGAACAACGATCTCTTGTTGAGGTTCCAATAAATGTATGAGTGCCGCTGATTGATACCAACTCCCCAAGTCTCTTAAGTCATCGGGCACTGCATAACAGCGGCAATCATTCCATGCTCGTTAATCAGCAGAATGCGGCTGCAACGCTAACACCCTTGAACCTGAGTGAGCCTTGTTCGTCGGCATGATGGTCGAGATACCAAGAAAGGTAACACCATGCCACACCCTCAACACCGTGAGCAGTCGCGGCGTAGGCCACTATCTCGACGTCAAACATTAACATGACCAAATCGTTAAGACTCTATTGGGAACTCCGGGGTGGGGCACCGTAGCACCTAAAATCAGAAATTCAGTAGGAACGTTAGCGCGTTAAAACGTCTTAGGCTAAAAATTATACCGATTCAACACTTTCAAATGTCATCATTTTGAATTGTACACGCAGCCACCGCGCACCCTCCACCATCATGGCATACTCTCCTGAGACCTGATAATGCCGCAAGGGTGCCCTTCTCATTCTCAAGAAGCTGTTAACCTGTGGAGTCGCAATTCCCATTCACATGTAAAGACATCGCTCATGAGTGAGCCGAGGTTGAACAAGCGAATCAAGAGTGACAAAATGGTTATATTTACTATATGTATTACATTCTAGATGTGCTGCGTGCTCCTGTCCAAATGTGTGTCGCTTCACTCGTGGACCCTAAGATGTGCCTGGGGATGTGATGTGATTAATGAGTGTCATTGGGGTTCGAGCTCGATGGCAACAGGGGAGGGGGAGGGGGAACAGCATGAGTGTTCGCAGTCATGGGAGAGAGAGGACACACACTTACGTCTGGCATTCCACGGGGTAATCTTAATACGACCGCGGGATATCGGCTCCACCAACTTCTTTGAATTCGAAGCCTCCAGAAGCCTCCGAGCATGTTGTGCCACTCTCACGGCCACGATAACCTTCAAATCTGGTCGACGTGTCGAGGCGCGCTGATCACTAACGATGCCTTCGATGACGATGTCTCTGATGATTGGGTCAGGGTCAGGGTTAGGAAATGTATAGTCTCTTGCCTCCTACTTTGGTTTCGTGGTCCCTAGGTGACGCATCAACGTCTCCCGCAAGGTGTCCTCCCTGCCAGCTCGAAATCCATTGTATGATGCCGCAATTTTAATGCTTCGATGCGCTGGCATTATTCTCAGTTTGTGCGGATAGGTAGAGAAGTGCGGTGAATTGGCTGAAGGATACAGTAGTGGGGGGAAGGTTCTGGTTCAGCCAGAGGCATTCTGGGGTTTTTATGTGGCTCTGGATATTCCGAATGCCATACGTCATCATCTTGGATTTCATTTTACTCGGTACAACGGAGGTGTAGTACGGAGGTGTAGTGACCAATTAAAAAGGAGGAATGATTAACCCAAGTCTTTATATACACACACCTGCCTGACGCGTTCCGGCGGTACTAGGACATGTCCAGTCGAGATTGTTGGTCATAGTCGCTATACTGTCGGTTAGAGCACAGAGCAGGGCTACTATCCTCGTACCGCAGCGGCTCGATGAAGGACGGAGCCTCCCATCATCTCGTCTGTCGAGCCCTTGAAAGACACTAAAGCACCGGCAACTTGTCCTTCTCCGTCCGTGTCAGGTTCACTTTAGCCATATATGGATGGAGATATGGTGAAATGACACACCACCTATCTATACGTCATTGACCACCTCAAGTTATTTCCCTTGGCGAGTTTACGTCAATGACAGGAGAGGAATAGACCCCCATACGCAGTTAACCCCCATGGCTTAGATCATGAGAGAAGGATAAGAGCACAAGGCATTACATTGATGAGAGGAGGACTCTGCCTAAACATGAAGCCAACCCAGTCGGGAGAGCGGCTGGAGGGAGTTGACCGAACAACCTTCCGCACCGTCCAATTCAACATACGGTTCATATATTGTTTATGTGTGTTCCAAATTGTACCAACTGTCCTCCCTCTAATTACGCGCAGCATCCTAAGTGGGCCCGACTCGACCTCAGTACACGTTGACCACCCTGATCCCTGTCTGTGTGCTGCATTCTTTGATGTTGGAGCAACTTTGACACGCGATGTGCGGCTGACATTGCTCCAAGTTCGGGAACAGCATACTCTCCAGTAAGCTTCCCAAGAACGAGGCAACCAGACAGGTGGGTGGTCCCCATGAGTTGCCGAAGCGCTGCTCAATGGCCATGTGTTGATAGATTTCATATTAAATTGTATGGACATCAGCTCAACTGCATAACAGCGAACGCGTATCCACCAATAATAGCTAGCCCCTTATTTCGTAGCTGAGATCAACTGGCAAGACTACGAAGGGTGAGATCATTCAGAAGCCCCTCTGGAGCATGGACAGCCGTAACAGTGCAAACATTCCACTAAGGGAAGCGTCTCTAGAACCAGACGCGTTGCGATCTGCTTGGTAGTCAACATGCGCTAGAAGTTCAGCAAGACCATGAGCATACCCAGTGCGAAGCAAACAAACTGTCGTGTCTGCTGGGGGTTGAGTATTGGCTCGCTCAACTCTCCTGTTTTAGAAGTCCTCTAAACAGGAATGAAATAGATCTAGCAAAAGGAATCTCTCAATGGAGCAAACTCCCGCACCCATCAAGGTAAATGTAATCAAACCAAAAGGAATATCTCAACAAAGTGAACAGTCGCACCCAGGCTCGTACCCAGTCGGAGTCGGTCGTAGAGTAACATGCAATTTGCTCTTTTCGCGCAAAAAAAAAAAGCAAACCACATATTATTGCGCGTCCACGATCGACTCCGACTGGGTACGAGTCTGTGTCGCAGCTGTGAAAGAATGGGTCCGAAAGGAATCTCTTGACGGAGCGAACCCCTGCACCTGTCAAGGTAAGAACGAGGCAACCAGACGGGTGGTCCCTCACGAGTTGCCGAAGCGCTGCTCAATGGCCACATGTGTTGATAGATATCGTATTAAAGTATGGAGATCAGCTCAACTGCATAACAGCGAACGCGCATCCACCAATAATATCCAGCCCCTTGTATTGTAGCTCAACTGTCGGAGACTACGAAGGGTGAGATCATTCAGAAGCCCCTCTGGTCCATGGACAGCTGTAACAGTGCAAACATTCCATCGAGGGAAGCGTCTCTAGAACCAGACGCGTTGCGATCTGCTTGGTAGTCAACATATCCCCGAGGTTCAGCAAGACCATGAGCATACCCAGCCCGGAGCAAACAAACTGTCGTGCCTGCCAGGAGCGGAGTACTGGCTCGCTCAACTCTTTTGTTCTTGTAAGTCCTTTAGCACCAAGACCTTGTACATGCAATTTGCCGAACCCAAAGACTGAGTGAAACACGTCCACATCAGCCATTTTCGCACTTTCGCGCAAGGTATGCACTATTCTGCAGTCAGTCAGTCGTGGTTTCACTGAGTTCGAATGTACGTGGAACAACTTAACTATGAACGCAGTGACTGCCACCAGTCCCTACTACTAATTTAAGCCTATCTATAAGATATCTACCGCATGTTGAATGACATTCTTCGCAATAATTCCCCCTATACATCATATCACGTTGCACTTGCGACCCGTCCAAGTACCTCAAATTAATAGCATATTGCCACATGTCTGCAAATATATTTCGCCATTGCGCTTGGGCTCTAAGTGCGGCCTAGCCACTCGGAATGTATATAAGCGTAATGTGAGCTGAGAGCACGATATCGAATGATACTGTGATATCGTGCTCAGAGGTCGGGCTGCCATGCCGCGATTCTAACAAGACCACCCTCCGCCTCCGCGTACACAAGGTAGCACCAAGTCGTCAGTCCTTCAGCCGCCCAGCGGTGCAGATCTGATTGTTCTTGCGTGAGTTCCGAGCCAAGTGTCTCCATGCCAAGCGCGGTGAAGCTCGCGTAGAGGCACATGCACATCGCTTCCATGGAAGAGACAGAGGAAAGATCACGAATTGGAAAGCCTGAAGAGGATCAACATATTGTTTATGGCGCCTTCAACGGATTGAGATCTAAAGTCGAGTTTATGAACAGCCGTGAACAACGAAAGTCTTGAAATGGTAACACATATCCCAAATCTAGATAAGGCGCCTCGACACACCCGGTTACTTAGGCCATAGCCATGATAAGGGAGGCCTAAAAGCCGATTTGAGTCAGGGAATGCCTTAGGGTTAGTAGCAATGCCCACACAGCCCTCCGGTATCGCTTCTTTCTTATATTCCGTGTAGATTCTACCGACCTTGGTGACTAGCTCCCACGATGTCGCACTCTATAGTCATGCTCGCCTTTAATTCACCAGCTTCAATCTAGACTAGGGTTTCGGAGCAATCTTAGCGCGAGCACGCTGACATTGAGCATAGCAGAGAATTATCGAGTAAATGGCGTCGCGGGGGGCTCGCCAGTGGCCGTGCTTGTGTCCTGGGGGTAAGCATCGGGAGGTGGCAAGGAAGGGGACTTGAAGGGGCCATAAACATCCCTAGGAGATAGCTGGTATGCTGTTGCGTCCGGGTCCTCGTTGGGGAGGACACGGTGTGTCATCGCTTGACTTTAGAGGATCTTGTTCCCTTCAGCAGTCCTGAGTATGGGGTGTTACTGAGTCATTACCATTCATGTTATAAGATATCAAGTACAGTGATGCACAGTTCTAACTATCGTTGTAACAGAAAGAAGCTCGAGCTTGAAGACTAGCAAGTGAGGAGGAAGAAGTCACAACCGCTGCGGATTAAACGACTTGGCTAATATCGACAACAATTGGGACTGTCGTCTGGCCTTGGAGGAGAAATCGAGTCCCATCCTTGCTGGACCGGAGGCGGTAGAGGTTCGTGGCATCTGAGGGCACTCTATCACCATACCAGGCCCCTAGATGGTTGATGCCACTTGCCCTGAAATCAACCGGTGGGTACTGCCGGGGGACAGTGAATTCTGTTCTGCCGTCAAACCATATCGGTAGCTCCTCGCTTATGTTTCCGGTCCAAAGCAATGGGGTTCTCCCTGTGACAGATGAATAGACGTCGAGGCCTTCGTGCATGCTTGGTGAAAGGTCTAGAAATGGGTGCTTGATCCAGTGCCCATCAGAGTCATGCGCTGCATCTGCCCCGGAAAGATGAACATCCGCCGTATCACCTTCTGCCAAGGGAGTGAGTCGAGTGGATACAGGGTCAGGGATGAGATATGAGCGAGTGGTGGGGACGGTGGGATTCATAATCCAAGAACTGAAATTCGTAACGCGGTAACACGCAATGAATTCACCTGACTTCGTTGACCAGGCGAAAGCACTGACTCCATCAAAAGCGCCAATATATCGTGCTCCGGGAGAAAAACCAAGCGTGCGACGATGAGGAACAGCCAGCCAAGAACTTGGGTGGAAAGACGGAGTAGAAGGGTCGGGAGAAGCAAGGAGCTGAACGTGCGGGTCGTCTGATACCGATATAAGCGTCATGTTGTCGTACCAATGTTTTTCAATCTTCCGTGGGACTCGTACAATGAATAACCCGTTATCTGATGCTAGAGTTGCAGCAGGGAAGGGGCCATTGGGGAGGGTACCAAGATTTACGGGGGTCCTACCATGGCTAAGGATGGCAACGTTTCCCTCATTATCCTCGGAAACGACCCGGTGGCTGCCATGGACAATTCGATCCAGATAGGGTGGTTGGGTGGATCAAGCTGGAATCGGGAGATAGTGCGCTGATGGTCGATGCCGGCGAGCTCAATTATACCGCTACCAAAACCAAGGGCTACACAATCACCATCGGGGGAGAGTGCCGCACACGTCACAATACCATTGCGAACATCGGGATCGTTGAATTGGGCTTCGTAGTTAATCTCCTCAGCACCCCATCTATCGACCTTCCTCGGCAAATTAGGTAGCTTTGTCTCCATGACCATTCGAGCGTTAAGAGAATCCTCACTCAATGGAATTGTGTGCCCAGAGAACTTGCCAGAAATGGTGAAGATCTGGACAGGATCAGAGAGATAGCCGTATAGTTTGTAGAAGGGTGATGAAGACGGGGTGAAAGGAAGCAACGATCGATAAAGGTTCGATGGTTCATAGTAAGGAAGGGCACTGTTCCGATGGCGAATTGGAATTATGCACAATTCCTCTATCTTTTCTTGAGCTTCTCTCAGAAGTTTGAATGAATCGCAATTCTATTGAAGTGGCATAATGTTATTGAAATATGCACAGTATGTATCTATGAATGATTTTCACTTACGTTGAATGGACGAAATTCCGCAGGCAACACAAAGTCAAACTGGGCCAGGAGCATAAACGTCACCAAATTTCGCACAAGGAAGGTATTAAACTCGTTCTGCAAATCGTTGTCCTGCGCAAAGAGTTGTGAAGGGTCTAAGTGTCGAAATAAGTATTTGATGGCATATTGGAGATGTTGAGGGTGATGATAGGGACGATGAAACTCCCGAAAATCCTTCCATTTCTGCTCATCTCCTAAGGGGGGGGTGGTAGGCATCCCAAATACATCCGGTGTACTGTTGTTGAGAAATCGAAGGAGCGGTAGTCCAAGGAAATACCCTTTCACATCTTTGAAAAAGAATACTCTGTCATTTTCATTACCAATTGGGTCCCCTGTTATGAATTCCTTCATCGTTGCATGATAGAATATGACGCTTTTCGCATCCACTGGAGGATTCCCTGAGGAACGTTCCGAGCGACTTACTTGGGAGAGATCGACAAGCGAGCTAATAGGTTCCAATATTGCCAGGACCTCCTCCTCGGACATTCCTAACAGTTGCGACATAGAAAACACACTTAGTGGCTCGTGTGCCGCAATAATCGTGCCGACCACTTGGAAATACTTCTTGGCTGTCTGTGGACGGACTCCGGATGAATCAACCACATAGGCTCGGCGAAGTACACGTAAATACTCCGAGTTGACGTCAACGGGGGCGTTAGTAAGATCGCGGAAGTATTTAAACTCAGACTCAAGTGTTGCACCACGACGAGTTTGAAGGCAGACGTCTCGGACTCGTGTCGAGGCAATGACAGGCAGTTCACGACAAGCAAAAGCAAAAGCATCCAGATCTTCCCCTGATGGTTTCCACAAAGACTCTTCAATACGATTCCGAAGGCCTTCCTCCACGATGCGACGGACCGTGTGGAACTTCTCGCCTTTAGCAAGCGCATCCACATCTTCACATGGTATGACAAGACCCCGACTCCGAGCTCTGCCCCAGGCTGATGTAACCGATGACTCTGGTCGACAGCTGACCAACACCGCAAATGCAGCTGGTAGCTCATCAAGGATAAGTACGAGCTTCATCAAGCACTCGAGTTCCTCCTGAGTCCCACACTCATCCAGCCCGTCCAAGACGATGCCGAAGCGTCCGTCGCTCGAAGACAATATGCTCTTGAGTTCGTGCATGGGGTCGATGATCCAAGCTTTCATTTGTTTCTCCAGTACAGAATCGGGAACGATCTTCAACGACAACGGCTGTCGAAGGTGACTGACAAGCAGGCCCTCGTACTCGGCATTAAACGAAGCAAGTTGGCGTGCAAGGGTAGAGGGAAAGTATTTGATCGAATCGAGCCCTGTTCCCTTTTGATTTTTGTCCCAGAAAAACGATGCTGCCAAGTGATTCCGTTTGTCAAGAGTCGAAGCAACACTCGTTGATATGGCGGTCTTTCCAGTGCCCGGAGAACCGCGCAACCAGACAAACCGGTGCCCCCGCTCCTTCAGGCGATCAAGAATGGATCTTTGAATCTCAACACGTGTGCTTTCCAAGCATTCGGACCTGCTGATCACGGAGGAATACTGCGCATCCACTTTATGGAGTTTCAAAAGCTCATCTAAAATGCCATTGAGTGTCAAGCGGTGAACATCAAGCGAGAATAACAAACAGTCCACCGATAACCGGATTGTGTGGAGGAGATTTAGCGTTGTGGCAGCGGTCTACGGGCACCCCGTCAGCCGTAGAGCAGTATGAACGCCAATGAAACGAACCGTAAAACGAGAGATAGCATCACCGATGCAAGACTTTACGGAGCTTACTTCCTGCGTTATCTCAGTCGCACGGATTACCCTCTTGGCAAGCTTTTGGCGTTTGAGTGCTTCAATTCGTTCCAGTAGTCCTTGTAGGGCTCTATGACCAGGCGTTGAGATTCAGATGAGAGAACGATGAAATCACTATGTTCATACGAGTTGAACTGTTGAATTACGTCGCTGATTTCATGTGGGACTTGGCCAGTCCACAATTGGAGCGGTCTAAAGATTGTTTCGTGAGCCTTCCGAACTTCATCGCCCAATCCCTTAAGATTTTCGTCGTTGTCGTCAACGCTCTACATGGAGGGTGGGATTAAATATGAAGGTCACATCATTAGATGACAGATTACCTCGTAAACTTGGAGCCATGTTAGAAGTATATTTGGTATCTGATCAAGATTCGCAATGGGGACGAACCTGAGGGCAGAGGCAGCGGTTTGGAGGACGAGCCTTGTTGCAGCGATGGTTGTTTTCTTTCTGTCGCCAGTAGGAACGGCTGACGATGATGGAATTCGCTCCATTAATGACGAAATATCCAAGTCCACGCCTGTGCGCCCTAGTTGTAGGTGGCCCGCAGTATTATCATGAGTGACGCGCTCTATAGGTGTATCACGAGGGATATTGTTGGTGGCTCCGAGGTGAGGAGACAACGGTAGCGATTTGTTAGGGGGCCCAGAGAGGGGAGATTGATCAACACGACTGGAACCGGAGCTTGAGCTTCTGCGGAACAGCCCAGATAGAGTGTGTCGAAAAAACGTCTGCGAATCTCCACCAGTTTGCGTGGTGGCAGTGGGAAGGTGGAGAAGAGATCCGTCAGATTCATCACGATCTCCGCTAACCGGAGTGATCTGGATGTCGGGAAAAGGGGAGGTCAAGGCCTGAGAGGGACTGCTTAGGGGCTTGGAGGAATGTCGTCGCTTTGACAGCCGGGAGAAAAGCCGAGAGGACTTGGATCTGTCAGCCATCACACAATAGTACTAGTAGTCGCAAAGATCGTGATGAACTGTGAGTATCACCGAGCCTAGGAAGGTGACCAGCCTCTCTTTAGCAGCTCTTTAGACCGAGCCGTTCATGTGTCGCCAGGTAGTTGTGGCCAAATCTTAATTGATTAGTTCTACATTCCTTTTTCGGTTAAGCGCCCACTTGTTAGACAAAGCCGGAGGCGATTCTTTTTTGTCACGTTTCTTTTCTTCCCCTCACCTCAGTTGTCAGACCTGAACCCCATCATCGCTAGTCCTCCGAGGGAGTGCCACCCAAATGTTCAAGGTTGGTACCAAAGCTTAAAAAACTTGCACTGCCTCAGCTAGTATTTTACGGGCGATTTATAGTATGGAAATCGACTTTTGAGTAATCGGTGCGTGTGTTCTGGATATTTAGCCTGTAGACTTCAGACTGCTCAGACTCGTACCCAGTTCCAGGACTGGTGGAAAGATCGAGCTTACCCTGTGATTGAGCAGAAATTAGCATCGAACATCGTCGGTAAGGCGAAAGGCATTTGACCTCAAATAAACGGGATGACAACGACGAAAAACCTGCTGGTTCCGCTTAGGAATTTCAAGTGCAGATCTTCATGCCGAACGAAGTCAGTGTGTTCGGAATGCGGCTCCTCGTGCTCGCAGCATCCCCAGTCCTCAAAGTGGCAAGATCTCTGCCAGTCTTAACAACGCTGATCACTGGTCCATAGGTGGGTGTCGGATGGCAATTCCATGAGTGCATCAACCAATGCCGGGAGGATGCTCGGCTCCATGCAAGGAAATCTTAATCGGTACAGCAGCTACCACGAACAAATCTAGGCAGGGCGGATCAAGCTGGAATCGGGAAATAGTGCGCGCATGGTCTATGTCGGTGAGCTTGATGATACCGTTACTAGAACTACCATGCTGCACATCTCACAATGATTGGGCTTCCTAATTGACCTCTTGCGCACCCCACCTATCGGCTTTCTTTGGCAATTTTGACCGTTCGCGCGTCGAGTAAATCCCCGCTCAACGGAATTGTGTGTCCAGAACACTCGCCAGAATGGCGGGGTCACTGCAGAGGTAGAGAGATGGCCATAAAGGGGCGATGGTTGTGAAAACCGATATGGGAATCTTTATGGGCAGATAAAGCACTCCTGAACGTTACTATTTCTTCCTTTTGACATCCGGATCCCGGAAGTGTGCTGACAGGGTACTGATTTGGCTCATAAGATTGCTCTGTGCGTTGACTCCTACACGTAGGGACTGAATAATTAGCAATCACGATGCTGCAATACACACACAACGTCCTAGTCGCAACCCCAACTACACAGTCAACAATGTGACATCGCGAGAGCTACAGATGTTCCACCAAAGGGGGGCGTATAACTTCATGACAATCTATATATATATTCATGTGCGAGATCACCATGGGAAATTTAGGGTGACAGGTAATGAAGAGAGATATTGCCCATCGGATCTAGCTAGCTGATCTGGGTGTGTAGTGTTGGAGATATCGGATCGACACCCGAGAGGTGGGCGATGAAGTGGAGCGGTAGATCATGTAGTTCGGGAATTGTGCCTCACTTAACGTACTAAAATATCGCACGGGATATTCCGCTACAACAACTCCAGAGTAGCCAAGTGTGCTTCCGTTATTACGTTGTTGTACCACAGCTAGGAGAACTGCGAATAAGGAATGGGGCTGATCAACCGTCAGTTTTCAGCCTGCAACTGATCGGGGCGTACATTTAACCTGTTTCGTGTCGGTGTCACTTGTAAAATGTGTGAACACCCGTTTGTTCGGGGATCGATAGATACAAAAAGCTTCCGAAAATAAGCACAGGCGCCCACATACCCTTCGCGTCCACGGTAGTCCTTCACGTATAAACCAAGAGGTTTTGAATCGATTTTGTCCACCAAGAGATCGATCTTATTGAGGTATTGGATCGAGCAAGAATCTCTATGGGTGTGTAGAAAGAGAGCAGCAGGCTAGCCATTGAGGGACGAGCCATCTGGAGTTACATATCGAGAGCCACCGATTCAGCCATTCGACTCTGGGTGGGGGTCAGGTTTCAGGCGAACAACACGCATGACGTCAAGGAAGGACTAATTCCCTACGGACCTGGTCATAATCACTGAGACCAACAAAGAAAGCGATGACGCCCAAGTCCTTGAAGAAGTGAAGCCATTTCCGCATTTCCGACCGTTGACCCCCGACATCAAAAACCCAGTACGTCAGGTCGACGGAAAATGATACGTCGAATTCACCCCAAAGCGTAGATCTGTCGGCAGGTGGCCACGAGTAGATAGAGATCCGTGGAAGCTCATCAAAGTAACTGACTGGGAAAAATTAGGCTATTTTCAATGAGTATCTGGATGACGAACTCGGGGGCCAAGTCACCGCGCCGAAACTCATTATGGTTTCTTGGGGTTCGGGATCCTTCGTGAGCGCCGTAATTGCCTCATATTCATATCTCCTTTGGCAGTGTCGAGGAGGTAACACTCATAGGAGCCCCATAATGTATTCACGATGGCCTTTATTATCTGCGTGAAGTGAAGAATAACAACTTCCTGGGTAAAGTGTCCTAATTTGCCTAAGGAACGCAGACTGTGTCGGAGTATGAGCGGCTTAGGCTCAGTCAAGGAGCGAGCTCAGATCGCTAGCTTGCCACTGTCTGTGTAGGGAATCCAGTTGAGATGCGTTGGTGTGTAGATGAACCAGCCTTGGCCCCGGTCTCGTTTGAATGAACCCCCAACTCCATGCTGGCAAACAGGCCTCACATGTCAGACATGGCTTCATCTCCTTGCTATGCAAACTATCCCAGGCAAATTAACTTGTAGCCCCTGAGAAGTGCCCTGGTTTGCCACTCATGCCAACACGATTCATATATTGTTGATGTGTGTTCCAAATTGTACCTACTGTCCTCCCTCCAATTACGCGCAGCGTCCTAAGCGGGCCCAACCCAATCTCAGTACACGCTAACTACCCTGGTCCCTGTCTGTGTGCTGCATTCTTTGATGTTGGAGCAACTTTGACACGCGATGTGCGGCTGACATTGCTCCAAGTTCGGGAACAGCATACTCTCCAGTAAGCTTCCCAAGAACGAGGCAACCAGACAGGTGGGTAGTCCCCATGAGTTGCCGAAGCGCTGCTCAATGGCCATGTGTTGATAGATTTCATATTAAATTGTATGGACATCAGCTCAACTGCATAACAGCGAACGCGTATCCACCAATAATAGCTAGCCCCTTATTTCGTAGCTGAGATCAACTGGCAAGACTACGAAGGGTGAGATCATTCAGAAGCCCCTCTGGAGCATGGACAGCCGTAACAGTGCAAACATTCCACCGAGGGAAGCGTCTCTGGAACCAGGCGCGTTGCGGTCTGCTTGGTAGTCAACATGCGCTAGAAGTTCAGCAAGACCATGAGCATACCCAGTGCGGAGCAAACAAACTGTCGTGTCTGCCGGGGGCTGAGTATTGGCTCGCTCAACTCTCCTGCTTTGAAAGTCCTCTAACAGGAATGAAATAGATCTAGCAAAAGGAATTTCTCAATGGAGCAAACTCCCGCACCCATCAAGGTAAATGTAATAAAACCAAAAGGAATATCTCAACAAAGTGAACAGTCGCACCCAGGCTCGTACCCAGTCGGAGTCGGTCGCAGAGTAACATGCAATTTGCTCTTTTCGCGCAAAAAAAAAAGCAAACCACATATTATTGCGCGTCCACGATCGACTCCGACTGGGTACGAGTCTGTGTCGCACCTGTGAAAGAATGGGTCCGAAAGGAATCTCTTGACAGAGCGAACCCCTGCACCTGTCAAGGTAAGAACAAGGCAACCAGACGGGTGGTCCCTCACGAGTTGCCGAAGCGCTGCTCAATGGCCATGTGTTGATAGATTTCATATTAAATTGTATGGACATCAGCTCAACTGCATAACAGCGAACGCGCATCCACCAATAATAGCTAGCCCCTTATTTCGCAGCTGAGATCAACTGGCAAGACTACGAAGGGTGAGATCATTCAGAAGCCCCTCTGGAGCATGGACAGCCGTACCAGTGCAAACGGGAGGTGTCTCTAGAACCAGACGCGTTGCAATCTGCTTGGTAGTCAACATATCCCAGAGGTTCAGCAAGACCATGAGCATATCCAGCGCGGAGCAAACAAACTGTCGTGTCTGCCAGGGGCTGAGTATTGGCTCGCTCAACTCTTTTGTTCTTGTAAGTCCTTTAGCACCAAGACCTTGTACATGCAATTTGCCGAACCCAAAGGTTGAGTGAAACACGTCCACATCAGCCATTTTCGCACTTTCGCGAAAGATATGCACCATTCTGCAGTCAGTCAGTCGTGGTTTCACTGAGTTCGAATGTACGTGGAACAACTCAACTGTGAACGCAGTGACTGCCATTAGTTCCTACTAATTTAAGCCTATCTACCACATGGCATTCTTCCTCCCGTATGCATCATATCACGTTGCACTTGCGGAGGGAAATCAAGACTCACTGTGCTTCCATGAGACTTGCATCAGGACGTCGATGACGTTGGAATATTAACGATAATCTCGGCATCCGAGTGGCAATGGGGAAAGGAACGATAGGCAGAAATTTAATCTTTATCCTTTGCTTGATAGCCTGGCCGCTGAGCGATAAAGTGGAGAATTTTTGTCCCTCAAATATATCTCCTCTACGAGACTGGGGTGAGAGCCACTGTTTTCATCGCAGTCCTCGTCCACACAACGTTCATATTCATATGTTACATACATGTGTCACAGAATTACGTGTGTAGCCAATAATTAGCCTAATCCTCAGCGCTCAATCGCAGGCAGCACTTAAAGCGCAAACGCAATAACAAAATATATCTACAAACATATAACCTATGGTGCTTGGACGGGTCGCAAGTGCCATAGAAAACCATAGGGATGAGGCCACAATGGGGCCGGGGTCGGACCAGATGAGAGTAGACCACTAGAATAAAAACATCGGTGCAAACATGTGTAAATACATGCATCGTGCTTGATTCCAACAAGTGCAATGTGATATGATGCATACGGGGGGGATTATTGCAAAGAATGCCATTCAACATGTGGTAGATAGACTTGAATTAGTAGTAGGGACTGATGGCAGTCACTGCGTTCACAGTTGAGTTGTTCCACGTACATTCGAACTCAGTGAAACCACGACTGACTGACTGCAGAATGGTGCATACCTTTCGCGAAAGTGCGAAAATGGCTGATGTGGACATGTCTCACTCAGTCTTTGAGTTTGGTGAATTGCATGCACCAGACCTTTGTGCTAAAGGACTTGCAAGAACAAAAGAGTTGAGCGAGCCAATATTCAGGACTGCGCAAGCACGCCGTCTGTTTGTTCCGCACTGGGTATGCTCATGGTCTTGCTGAACCTCTGGAATACGTTGACTGCCAAACAGATTGCAAGGCGTCTGGTTCCAGAGACGCTTCCCTTAGTGGAATGTTTGCACTGTTACAGCTGTCCATGCTCCAGAGGGGCTTCTGAATGATCTCACCCTTCGTAGTCTCCAACAGCTGAGCTACAACATAAGACTAGCTATTATTGATGGATGCGCGTTCGCTGTTATGCAGTTGAGCTGATGTTCATACAATTTAATCTGATGTTTATCAACCCATGGCTATTGAGCAGGCTTTGGCAACTCGTGGGGGACCACCTGTCTGGTTGCCTCGTTCTTGGGAAGTTTACTGGGGGGTATGCTGTTCCCGAACTTGGAGCAATGTCAGCCACACATCGCGTGTCAATGTTGCTCCAACATCAAAGAAGCAGCATACCGACAGGGACAGATATAGAGGATTATTGCAAAGAATGCCATTCAATTACATGTGGTAGATAGGCTTAAATTAGTAGTAGGAACTGATGGCAGTCACTGCGTTCACAGTTGAGTTGTTCCACGTACATTCGAACTCAGTGAAACCACGACTGACTGACTGCAGAATGGTGCATACCTTTCGCGAAAGTGCGAAAATGGCTGATGTGGACGTGTTTCACTCAACCTTTGGGTTCGGCAAATTGCATGTACAAGGTCTTGGTGCTAAAGGACTTACAAGAACAAAAGAGTTGAGCGAGCCAATACTCAGCCCCTGGCAGACACGACAGTTTGTTTGCTCCGCGCTGGGTATGCTCATGGTCTTGCTGAACCTCTGGGATATGTTGACTACCAAGCAGATTGCAACGCGTCTGGTTCTAGAGACACCTCCCTCGGCGGAGTGTTTGCACTGGTACGGCTGTCCATGCTCCAGAGGGGCTTCTGAATGATCTCACCCTTCGTAGTCTTGCCAGTTGATCTCAGCTACGAAATAAGGGGCTAGCTATTATTGGTGGATGCGCGTTCGCTGTTATGCAGTTGAGCTGATGTCCATACAATTTAATATGAAATCTATCAACACATGGCCATTGAGCAGCGCTTCGGCAACTCGTGAGGGACCACCCGTCTGGTTGCCTTGTTCTTACCTTGACAGGTGCAGGGGTTCGCTCTGTCAAGAGATTCCTTTCGGACCCATTCTTTCACAGGTGCGACACAGACTCGTACCCAGTCGGAGTCGATCGTGGACGCGCAATAATATGTGGTTTGCTTTTTTTTTTGCGCGAAAAGAGCAAATTGCATGTTACTCTGCGACCGACTCCGACTGGGTACGAGCCTGGGTGCGACTGTTCACTTTGTTGAGATATTCCTTTTGGTTTTATTACATTTACCTTGATGGGTGCGGGAGTTTGCTCCATTGAGAAATTCCTTTTGCTAGATCTATTTCATTCTTGTTAGAGGACTTCTAAAGCAGGAGAGTTGAGCGAGCCAATACTCAGCCCCCGGCAGACACGACAGTTTGTTTACTCCGCACTGGGTATGCTCATGGTCTTGCTGAACTTCTAGCGCATGTTGACTACCAAGCAGACCGCAACGTGTCTGGTTCCAGAGACGCTTCCCTCGGTGGAATGTTTGCACTGTTACGGCTGTCCATGCTCCAGAGGGGCTTCTGAATGATCTCACCCTTCGTAGTCTTGCCAGTTGATCTCAGCTACGAAATAAGGGGCTAGCTATTATTGGTGGATACGCGTTCGCTGTTATGCAGTTGAGCTCACCACGGACACCCAGGTAGAAGGCCTCGTTAGGTACCCAAATTGAACTTTCGATCTCCGGCCTAACAGGCCTAAATGCATATGAACGTTCTAAGGCTCGTTGAACTTTCTCTTTTGTATTGATTTGAACATGTAAAACGTTCATCACGAACATTTAGAACGTTCTCTGACTGTATAGAACGTTCAGCAATGCCATAGAATGTTTTATACTACCTGAGGGATGCCCTAACCGTCCACATACTCATGGAGATCGTCCTCCGCATCGTCAGCGTTGTCTAAATCACATTATTATTGGCTATGGTACGCAAACGTATATACATGAATAGAA